CGTCTCCCCAATCTCTCCCTCTGCCACACCTCTCCCATCTTCCCACCCATTGCTGCAGTGCAGTAAGGTGTGTCCTCTGCAATGAATGAAGAAACAGCTTTAAAGAATCAAACCATAAACAGAGCAAAAATCAATCTCGTCCAGAGTGTGCGTCGCCGCATGGGTAAGAGTAACAACACCAATTCAACATCCTTAAACACACGGTGCATAAAATCAGCCGTATTTTTATAGTCTGAACGGCTTGTACGATATATCGAAAGTGCTTATCCATGTCCGTTGAAGTAGAAAAGTTTGCATTAAACATGCCAAGTTTGTTCCTGATTGCAAGACGACTAAGTCTTATCTCAGAGTGATGAACTTCATTTACATTGCAACCATGAGATCATAGATAACTATGGAGAAGCTGTCAGATTCGTTTTATAACCATCAAGTCAGACAAAAAAAAGCCCACAACAACAAGCACACGAACTCTACCCTTTCCTTCCCTTCTGCTCTCTCTCTCTCTCCCAACTCAAATTCTGAGCACTTTTTCCTTCCACTCGTCTAATTGGCCAACAAGTTTGCCAGCTCAGCTCTTCTGATTGGCTGTTGCTAAGCAGTAGGCAGTTGGAGCTAGACGTCTGGCAGAGTTTGCACCAGGCAGCGGAGAAGCAGCTTCACCGTGAGTGTGTATGTGTGTGTGTGTGTGTGTGTGTATCAGTGAGGGCACCTCGAGCGAAGTGTTCCTTCCAAAAGGTCCCTCAGGAATCACCAGCAGTCCAAAAATACACACACTGAGGTAAAGCTGATCTACATTAGTCTATAGGCCATACCTGGATCATGTTCGCCAAAATGGAACTACCAAAACCCCACAAGGAGAACTAACAAGTACCACAAACTAATTCAGTATTATATACATTTAAACAGCAATTGTGGTCCCTAATCTGGGAACTGAGCCCGGTTGGTTGGTTTTGAAGATCTTCACAATATGTCTTGTATTTTATTTATTTATTTTTTCCTGCCATCAATGGACTTTTATGAACTGAACAACAGAACAAGCTGTTAAGAGTGTCTTTATCACAAGTGATCCCCACAATCTCTTCTTTTGTTGTGAGAAGATCTCTCCAGGGTTAGACTCCCATTTGCCAGTCGACCATGCTGTGTAACACACAAAACTGTCCCAGGAGAACACCATCCCCCAGTAAAGCTGTTCCATGTTGTGGGGAAGGCCTGAGGGTGTTGATTATCATCGCTGTGTTACGGAGAAGTGAGCACAAAGGTTTTGTTCTTGCATTCATGCATTATCAATAAAAGCCAGACATTTGCTTGTTTATTTATATGTGATTGACGGATTCTTGAACACTGCACATAAATGCATGAGATTGTTTGATATTGAGGATCATGGGGGAAACACGCAGAGGTGTGAGCAAGTGCTTTATCTTGGCAGCAGGTGTGAAGGCAGCTGCTACTCTCACCCCTGTAGATACCCAACCAATGCAGTGTTAAACACACTACACACAATTCCCTCGAGTGTGCATGACACATATAACTATGCCACCAGAAACAAAGACCAGCCTCTCCTTCCAGTGATGTATGACTACTGTCAAGACAAAGTCCCGGCAACTTCACATTAAAACACCAGCACTGAAGTGGTGTTTAAAGCAGGCTATTCAGACAGATAAAGCATTGTTGCACTGATCATTTGCAACACATCATGTAGTGCATGGAAAGTTGACTTTTTTTTCCTGTTACTTGGGTAAATGTCTTTGTGTTTGGTATAGAGGTTGCAAAATGCATGCATATTACCTTTAGTTATTTCTTCCATAAACTGCAAATGATATGGAACTTAATTATGCTGTAAATATGTAATGAGGTGACTGTACTTTATAACACAAGCAACCCATTTAATATACCAAAAGTAGAAGTGAAGTGGTCGGTCAGATTAGCAATTAAGCTGTGGTAGTTACGTTGCTATCAGCAGTACCAGAGCAAGAGCACATCTCATTCATTTATAATGTTGCACAAAAATAGCAGATTTTGCTTTTTAGCTTTTAATTTAAAGTCCCAATGAAATCAAAATGTAAGTTTTTTTGGCTTTTAGTATGAATAAGTTCCTTAAGGTTATCTATAAGCTAATGCACTCCAAAATGATGACATCCAAAATTCACTTTTAAAAGATATAAGCTGTCGAAACTTAGTCTCTCACTTCCGCCAATATGGGTAAACTATTTTGATGACATCACTAGGCACTTCAGCTTCTCATCAGATTGTCTGTCCAATCAAATGCGCTCTGGAATCTGAAGCGGCCCCATACACTATAAATAGACTGAAGCTGCAGCTGAAATCAATTACTATTTTTTATATGGTGAATGGCAGGGGATAGGGAAATGATTCAGACAGTGTAAATATGCTTTCCATTGGGGTGAATGAAGTCTGGTTTCGAGACTTCTGAATGAACCGTCCCTGCGCCCACACAGTTTGCTCCGGTCCAGAGACACGATAGCACAGAGCAAATCACATGTGCGAGTCGGCGTAGACCACAAAAAGTATCGAACCCTGACCCATATATTTTAGAGCGATATGGGGAGATTAGGAGAAAGGTTAGACAGACTCGGCATTAGAAACAGCACTGACGAGTAGAAGAGATAACAATGGTGCCATGCACCAACACAAATTACACACTTTTCAAACTACCTCAGCAGGACTTTGTTCACTGTTCGTAACTGCTTTAGTAACGGTTTCATATTAAATCTATTAAACTGTGGCTGTCAATTGCGGCTTTGCCGAGCTCAACGGCTCTGGTCGAGCTGCGATATAGCTATTGGCTATTTTTAAAAAGGGGAGGAGCTGTACAACATCTCCCGCCCTGTCTTCATGTTTCAGTGGAAAGTCAACACTTTGAATAACGCTGCACATTTCAAGGCACTTCAGTGGGCCTTTAAAAGATAGTTCTGATGCAAAATCTGTCATCATTTACTCACCCTCATGCGGTTCCAAACCTGTCTGAATTTCTTGTGTGAAACATAAAAATGTAAAAGTGAAAGTCCTGAGTGTGTATTAAAAAAAAAAAAAAAAAAATTACATACAAAAAGTCAATGGCCACCAAAACTGTTTGGTTACCAGCATTCTTCGAAATATCTTCTTTTGTGTTCCATATATATGAGAAGTAAATGATGACAGAATTTTCCTTTTTGGGTGAACTAACCCTTTAAATAATATAAAAAACATTAAAATAAATATAATAAACAATATAATAGAATATTAACAGAATATATGTAAAAGAAATCAATAAAATGTTTAATTGATTAAGTGTCAAAGGTGTCTGCTTCACCTACTGAACATACGGTTACCATAAACCCTAGTCAAAACACAGAAAATACAGAGGTTTCAGATGTAACAGAACGAGTCACCTTTTGCCTTCAAAGGTTTTAGAAGATTCTGAGAACTGGCAAACCATCAGATTCTGAGAACTGGCAAACCACCTACACCCTGGAATTCCTCGTTGTAACTCAAGTGAGGTTGTCTTTTTTGCTCCCTTTCATGTTATTTGAATTTTCAGGTTGCACCTCATTATTAATTCCTTATTTTAAATTTATTTTTTCTAACGCCTGTGAATATCAGGAGCCGATACCGGTCATGCCAACTTGTGCTTGTTTAGAAAAATCCTCCATGAATGGGTGCGACACATCGATGTGACAGCATGCAGATGGTAAAGCAAGGTGTGACGGAATGTTTTTTACTGCAGTGGAGCAGATCATGTGTTCTCCAGGATATTATCAGGTCCTGTGACATTTGCAGAACAAACATTTCCACCCAAAACAAAATTGAGCTTCAGCTAAAGAAAAAAAAAATGCTAGGAGGAAAAACAATAATTAAACACCTTAAGCATTAAAGGTGTTGGTCAGAATTGTGGGTTCAAAAAAGTAACTAAGGCACCAAAACAAACAGTTTCTGAAACAATTCATCTTAAATTAGTTTTAAAACAAGATCACATGACCTCCCCATCCTACTAGTCGACATTGATTCTTTCTAAGGTGGGGCAGATGGCTCCTATGCGGTAACACACTGACATTTCAGTTGGCGGAGTAGGACGATTAATTCCCGCCACAAACAAAAACAAAACATCCGGAAAGTTGGTGCGCGCGTTGGGCGCAGGAGACGCGTCTTTAGTCGCGCGCTGAGAAGCGGTTTTCAGTGCGTCAGCGCAGCGTTCACTCCCTCCATACACCGCAGTCTACTGATGGACACCGGCTTCCTCTGTAATAAGTGTATTATAAATGGACAACTAATGACTAAAGAAATATTTCCCATACACACCTATAAAACGGCGTTGTTAATGTGAAAAGCTCAAAAGACACGTCTCAATTAATGCAAACGTAAACTGAACCTTATGAACTTCTATAAGTGTGTTTACAAATAATACTTAAGTCAGTCTCCGTCAGGCTGACATGCATCGCACGCCCACAGTCAAAACACTGCAGCAGTTTTTCCTAGACAGAAAGTCCCCCTAGGCTGTGAGTGATAGCAGTAAAACAAGTTTAGAACTCCAGAAAAACAGTTCTGTGCGTATAACATAAGGCAGTCCAACAAGTATAAGAGATGCTCTTTAAGTTCATAAACATACGCTCGATCCATTGAGCGCGATAGGGGAGATAAGTGTTCTGTCAGTCATCTGTATCTCCATGTCATCATGATAACTTATTGGATTTTTTGCTAACTGCCCACAAGTGGCCAATGTTATAAATGACAGCGTCGATCAAATTACTAAAATAATGGAAGAATTGATGCAACTGTCACGCGGATTTAATTTGGTAGTGTAAATGTTTGCACATATGTGTATCCTCTATTGGTGGACCAGCAGGGAGAGCTCGACTGCTGCAAACATCCGCCCATCACGAACTCCAGCTCACAACTTTACTGAAGTTGAATAACACGTCAGAAAGCAACGTGACAACCTAAGAACGTGTCTCACACCCGGACAAACGGAAAACTTCTGCTATTACTCGGGGGTAACTGCCTACCTCCGGTGTTGGTGTAAGTTTGCGTCGCTGTCTCCAGTCGTCTCTTCGCTCTCTCCTGTCGAGCCGTAGTCGTCGTCCTCTACGGTCACTTCTCCGAAACCCGGGGCTCCTCCGACGTTGTCAAGTGGCCGCTCCATAACGGCAGCATGTTCCGCCGCCTCGGTGTTTGGCGTCGGGGCCACTTCGAGTTTTCTCTCTGAGAGAGACTGACTTTGCAAAGTAACCGTTAACGTTCTCAGAACAAGCAGCAGCAGCAGAGATATGCACACATTTCCAAACTGAAACCCCCTTTCCATTGGGACAAGTGGCACATGAGTAGTTAGGCAATCACATACCAAAATACAAAGTGAATTTTAAAAACTAGACTATAAAACGCGTTCTACAAATAAATTCGTAAGGCTATTTGATCTCTTTCTGTTGCCCTCTCTTAACGTAAACATCCACTCAACAGCACCATGTTATTCCCTTTATACTTGACGTTGGCCGTGCCGTGGTAACGTTAAGCCCCACCCCGTATCCAAACGCCCATTGGCTGCGAATGGAAGCAAATCCCTGCAGTGTGTGCTGATTGGTGGGAGCGTTTGTCAATCTTCACTGCTCGACCACTAAGCAGATTTTGATTGCTTCCTACAACTGTCTTTTACAGTGCAGTCTGTTGACGTGTCGCCACTCTTATGCACTTCATTCACTAATTGTGCAATTTCCCTGTCACTCAGAAATAGAGGCGGGAGGAAAGGCAGCCTAGAGCGAAAGCAAAGCGAGTATGGCTATCCTCTGAAGTATATTATTGGCTACACCGTAGAGTTTTAGCCAATAAAATATTAGTGTTGACTCCAACATGTTTCATTGGTATGTTTACGGAAACCGCGAAAGAAATCTAGTTAATCCATTGGTCTGACACGCTCAGTCAAAAATCGCTACTGTGATTTCCAGAGCATGGCTCTGGTGATTTCTTACGGAGGGGCGTTGCTACTTTTTTTTGAGTGAAGCTGATTGGGTAAAAAGTATAAGGATGGAAATAACGACGTGGCCGTGTTTGCGGACAAAAAAGTGAAGTCATGTTTGACAATTTCATTTCCGGGCCTTTTGATAGGAAAATAAACCTCTGCTCATCCCTTGCACAAAATTTAGTAAGCGGATTTTCCTTTATTTATTTAAAAAAAAGTACACATATTACGTCACGTTATCGGATTGTAATAAAAGACTAACAATCATAGCACTTTTAAAGTAATACGTTTACAAATATTTAGGCACCTTCAGCATTTCACTACACTATGTTCACTTTTTGTAGTCATGAATGTTGGCTACTGTGCTGTGCAATGCATATGGCGCCCTCTCGTGGCCTGATAAATAATCTGTTAACTCTTGACTGAGCCATACTGATTTAGTAAAACGTCAGATAAAAATGACAGTTCATAATTGATTGGTCCAGTTTTAATATTGATTTTCAGTCTGGAGTACAACATTTGAAAACTTCAGTACAACAGTACAATTGGGAGAGTAACACAAGCTGGTATTTGAAGAAGTACAATACCCCAAAATCACAGTGACCTCTGAGGTTTTCATTAACAGAACTGAGTGGTCAATAAATGTACAGAAGATAAGGCTTTCAGCTGTGCCACCAACTCACTGCTGCTTTCATCCCTCAACAACACTGTGCTGATGGCCACAGGCACGTCGAAACATTATACAAAAACAAAATCAATATCAAAAGCTGAGTGGCATTTCACCCCTTCAAATAGTTATTTTGTCCAGGGGCAGAATGCTCTGAAATGATTGATCAATGAATTAAACTAACCACTGTGTGCAGGAAAAGGCCACAAGTTTCACTTGAGGTTTCATGTTGGAACGTCTGATCAAATCTACCAGAATCTCCAAAACGGTTTCAAAATGATCATACAAACCCACAGAAAATGCATTGACGATCAGTTTCGATGTGATTGAGAAAGGCTTGTAAGGCTAGCAACTATGCTTTGTGAAAATATACATTTACGTAGGCACAGATGCAGGCCACTATATTCATGCGTGTGTATAGACATCCATGCAATACAACATTCACGGTAGAGCATGGAAAGAAGTAAAGAAGCACAGAAGGCAAAATGAAAGAAGACACAAGGACCATAACGGCAGGTTACGTTAGCAGAATTCTTCAGACAGAGGATATGAGAGAAGAAACAGGAAAGGCCAGAAGACCTAATGTTGCATTGATGTGTAAAATCCCCCATTTCGTGTACACACCAGTCCTGATCAGACATCTGATGGTTTCTGTACCAGAAAATAAAAGAACCTGTGGGGAAAGCTGCCAGAGCCTTTGTATGTGAATGGCACTTGAGGTCTATCACAAGAGCAGAGGAAGGATCTTCTCAGTTGACAGGAGGGTCTCTAGTCTTGACACTTCCGTCCTCCATACCGAAGTACACCCGCTCAGCCATCCCCACAAACAAGCCCGTCTCAACCACACCTTCATAAAAGAGAGAACATTCATTGGTGGTATTTAGGAATACATACACTACCGTTTCAAAGGTTTGGGGCCGGCAAGATAGATATAAATACAGTCGTACAGTTGTTTTAAATTAATAATATTTCAAATAAATGCAGCCTTGGTGAGCAAGAGACTTCTTTCAAAAACTTTTTTTATTTTTTTTTATTAAACATGAACAGTTGGTGTGTAGAGAGAAGAAAGGTGATGGAAGAGCAGTATTCTGTTCATCTGTACACACCTGGGATCATCTTAATGGCCGTGTTGACCTCTTTCCAGTTCTGAGCATGCTCAAACTTCCAATCCAGAATGAAGTTGCTGTTATCAGTAACCACTGGACCCTAAATTTAATAGAATCAAATCATAAGATGAATACACCACATATCCAAAACCGTCAAGATAGGGAGCATGACAAATAATGTGCATGTATACTGTGTAATATATATGTAAATAAAATAAACTGTAGGATGTTGTCACCCCAAACATTGCATAAACAACAGAAATGTTGACTAAGGTTGTATTCACACTTGTAGTTTGATTCTCTTGGTTCTTTTGGTCCTGACCAAAACAGAAAATATTACATTTAGTCCTGGTTTGCTTAGCGTTCACACTGTCATTTTGAACTCCAGACCTAAAGATTAAAAACAAAAACCCTTTAATGACGTATATTTTGAAATGGAACTTACTGAACACCCAAACCAGCGCTGTGTGCTGGGCTAAATGCGCTCGTTGTATGTGTACATATGATGGTGTTTTTACCAGCTGAGAACTCGTGAAGAGTTTATAAAATAATTAAGAGTCAAAACAGCAGTAGGGATTCCTCTGTTGCACACGAAGATCTGCTGCAAGGAGACGGCGTTTCTGACTCCTGTGCCAAACTGTAATGAGCAACATTGCTTTAATGATGAGAGGAACCGGGTCTCTTTGAGGATTCTGTCCTCTTTAGGGTCATCCTGTCTTCGGTTGTCTATGGTCTGCTGGTGCACAACAGAGTTTGTTTGGAAGTGGATGAAACCCCTTGAAAAGGTGGGTCTCAGGCAGCTTATTTGGTGTGCACCAGTTCGGATGGCAGCGTTCACACTTATTCAAATGAACCGCACTAACGTTTTAATCAAACCAAACCAGCCAAGTGTGAACACACCCTTAGTTCTTTTCTATGGTAAATGAAGCTCTTTGGGTTGATGCAGTTCAAATGAATTCAGATAAAGAGGAGTTCATATTTTAGGTAATTTCTTAATGTAATGTAATAGCAAATAAACAAAAAAGAACCCTCAATAGTGTACAATTGTAACTCAAGATCGATCAGTAAGAGTTTCTTACAGCTTTACTGACTGCCATCCTCAGCACTGCCTCTCCTCCAAAGCGCCGGGCAATGGCTCTGGACACGGGCACATACGCCATGGGGATGACCTCCACCGGCACCCCTTTCTTCCACTGCTGTCCCAGAGCCTTTGAGTCCTTTCTACCCACACAAAAAAACAAAATGACATCACATGAGCACATCTGAACTTCTAGTTTGTACATGTAGTAGAAGACTCTTACATAATTATAGCAACCACATGCTGAGTTATAATGACACATGACTTCTGTTAAACGCTTCATTACACGCACCTCATGATCAGTAGTAATTATGGGCTGCTAAATATATACTGAATTTTGTAGCTCAAACAGTAGAGCAACACGCTATGGGTGGATTCCCAGGAAATGCATGAACTGATGAAGTGTAAACCTTGACTGCAACGCAAGTCGCTTTGGATAGAAGCATTAGCCCGTCACCCACATACATACCTATAGTCTGCGATGACAATGAAGTGTTTGGCACAACCAGCCACAATCTTCTCCTGGGTTAAGCATCCTCTGTTTTGAAGGAGGAAAAGAAGGACATGACACAAGACCTGATGACACCTTAGGGGTTTCACACAAAAGAACATGGAAGAGGAATTGGAAAATATCCTTGAATTAAACAGGTTTTCCAAACTCACCCTCCTCCTTTAATCAGAGTCAAAGCAGCATCAACTTCATCAGCTCCGTCAATTGCTACATCCAGCTAGAATGAAGTCACAAAAAAAACACTCTTTATGGCACTCAAATCAAATAATTTGTCCGAAATAGCATTTATTTGAAATCATTAACATAACAGCAGATTTCAAAGACAAAATTTGAAAATTTATTTAAGATATGAAGATTTTGTTCTGTGTTCAGTTAATCTCAATTGACAGTATTTGTTACATTTGTGAAAGCAAGCATAACATTTCTCCAAAATGTACATGACAACAGAATTGAAAGATTTTGACGTTTGTAATTATGATTTTTCTGTTTTCTATCCCCTTGTATACATGATTCGTCTTCCTCTGCACTCTATTTAGGCACTTGTTATTTGTAATGTCATCTGGCTTTTTTGTATTTATTTATTTGTTATACACATGTTGTTCGGTCTCCATTGTTCTTACCAAAACCAATTTTGAGAGAACAATATAGAGAGAAAATGTAAAAGTTTTTTGTTAAATTTAAAAGCATTCTTCACCGCTGGCAAAATGGCTTTCAATTAAACTTGGCTCCTTATCGAGTAGAAAGCTAAAACATTTTTTTAATATCGGTGCTACCTGTCTAGAGGAAACAGAGAAAAGGCTGTTATCTTCCCGTTTGCCAAATAAGTAGGAAAACTTCAACTTTCACCAGTCTGCTATGGATACGCTTACCAGAGTCAAATATCGCCTTGCTTTAGTAGGAAATAAGTCTTAGCAAACTGAGTCATAATGGTGTAGACTTATATTATACCCGGGTGCAAGAATTCAAAGAGTAAACATTTAGCAAGAGTTGAGTTACTTTCGGTTTCCAGTGAAGGATCCAGCACACTGTAGGGAGTGGCTAAAGGCAGCAAAAAATAATAATAATTTGAAATATGGAGAGAAAGCCATGATGGAAAAACCTCCGTGTTTGTAGTCGACATGTAGCACGAACACAGTGTGTTAGGCCAAATGGAGAGGAACAAGTGAAAGAAACTGCAGTTCTGTCAGTTCCACCCAAACCTCTAAAGCAAAGCCTGACACTAGGCGGAATGATAATTTCTTAATCAGTCAAACCTGCGCTGAAAATATCAAGTCAATTTTCATCCAATTAATCAGCCTGCCCAATGTATAGGTCTATACTAAAGTCTTCAATTCTAAACAGGTGTTATTTGAGCTGTCTTCTAAATCAGGGGTTCTCAAAGTGGGGTCCGCGGACCCCTGGTGGTCCGTGAACTATAGCCAGGGGGTCCGCGAAATAATTTATAACAGCCTACCGTTTTTCCCGACTATAAGTCATGTTTTCTTTAGCATCTGAAAACTTGCTATTTATTCCAAAGTGACTTATATAATGCATTTAATGTTTATGTCAAATAATAAAAAAGTAGGCTCTTAAAGGTTTCTATAGATAGATAATCTATCTATATTTCTTATGTCTGTGCGTCAAGTATTCGCTGTGTTTTGGTCGATTTTTGGGCACGTGCGCCAGAAAGGAGACAGAGACGGCAGAACGCGCATCCTGTTGTGTTCTTTATTTTTAAAAGGCATGACATTTTGTAGTCATTTTTAATGTATACACAAATAAAAAATAGACACTTTGCCGTTTTGAATGATGTACTCTTGTCTGTATGACCATAAATAAGAGTATTCCTTTGTTTCCACTGCTGAGGAAAAATCCAAGTGTTCGCGCCGGCGTCTCGTGTGCGCGCACAATATGTCAGTTCTAGCACTGCTAATTTGACATCAAAACCTGTTCATTATCAAAATAAAATACTCACCGAACTTATAAAAAGTTCTGCTTAATTTAATTTTTGTCTGTTGTACACTATGAAGGCAGTGACGGTCAATCATATACTGTCGACTTGCTTTTGTTCCAATCTCATTTCTCCAAATGTGAAGATGCTGATACGTGTAGGCCTATATTGGGACTGAAGCATGAAGCTTTCTTTACATAAATAGTTAAGCATCCAAATGTTAGGCTACATCGCAAATATGGAAACTTTGGACCGAATGAGAGATGCACGAGCCCAACGTCTGAGGTTTCAGTTTCGATTCAACTTAATTCGTTTAGACTTGATGTTTTAAATAAATGTTGTCTGTATACTATTATTATTTGTATTATTATCTATTAATAGTACCGTATTATTTTTCATTCTCGTTTTGTTCTGAATACCATTTGATACCATTAATTTAAGGATTTGTTGTGGAGTGAGGGGAAGTAGGCCTACTACGCCTCAAGAACGCAACAAAGTATTACACACTCAGGTGCAACTTATTTTCTGGAAAATACAGTAAATTATAAATTTGTGCATAGGGACAGGGTCGTATACCCACAATTGAGGTCCCTGAGGTCCGGGCCTCTGTAATTTTTCTATGTGTATAATGAAAGTTGTGAAATAATTGCCTAACATTAACTCTAATTTGGTGCTGCAAGGATATTAAACATCGCGATGATAACTGACCTTCTCATCTGAGCGGTTTCAGCAGACTAACAGTGCTCATCAATGTCAAAATGTTTGAGTCGGAGATTAAATCAAAGTAGGCGGGTTTATGTTCACAGAAGCTGCAAGCCGAGCGCGAATTTCCGCATGACGCTTCAGTTATTCGGTCATAAAGTGCGAGATAAGATGTAAATCGCTAAACTAAACAGCTGTTTTAGATAGAAGTTTTAAACGAACGACAGAAACAATCAGTTTGCAACGTATCAACCGGGAAAGGAAATATAGGGGATAGCGGGGCACAACGTAAATCCCAGTTGTGCAAGTGGGTCATGTTGTCACACTGCGTTACAATGAATATGTTTTGAACTATGTTGTATAGCTGTGTGTTCGTTGTCAAACTCAAAAATTAGTTTATTTTTAATTATGTTAAAATGCCATTATTTTATATGAAAAAGTTAATAATTGTATTTTATTGAGAAAATATTTTTGTTTGTCTTGTAGCCTATATTTGTTTGATTAGATCAGATAACATTTTAATCTGTCGTATGGTCATGTTACAATGTGCCCCACCTATGGGACATGTCACATTGCACTTCCATTCTTTCTGGGTATATCAAGGAAAAAGTACCATTTTTGGCCCTAAAAACACCTTAAAATGCACATGTAGATCAAGAAAATCTAAAATTCACAGGGGGGGGGGGGGGGGGGGGGGGGGGGGGCATGCCCCCGAACCCCCCTAGCAAGATCACTTTTGGGACCTCAGTATGCTATTTAGAAAACCCTGCATATGACCCTGGGTGGAGACTATTTGTGTCAAAATATTTCATTAACCGCTCCCACATTAACTTTAGGCTCAGTCACTGTTATAAATATGAAGGGGTCCTTGGAAATGTTTTTCCCCTGTAAGGGGTCCCTGGCTCCAAAATGTTTGAGAACCCCTGTTCTAAATCATCTTTTAACTGTTCTGCTGTCTTCCTGAACTTTCATATTGAGCAGTCATTTGTGTACGAGGTCCAGCTCCCCCTCCCAAACTCACCTCAGGATGTCTGTCTAAATCAGAAAGAGGGAGACCATGCTGCAGAATCAGCTGACGGGCCTAGATCAACAATTCAAATGAATCCATTATAAGACAAGTGTTTAATAGTGTTTAAAGAGTGTTATGTCAGCAGATGAAGGTTTAGACTGACCTGGAAGGACGTGGGAACACACACAATGTTCAGCTTCTCCTCTCTTACCCTCTCAGCTAGAAAGAAAACACCATCCTTTAGTAATTATCATATAAGCACAAGTGGATAATATTAGATTAAATGTCTTACCCAGCCTGTCCACAGCATAGACGATAGTCGAGCCACTACCCACCCCAACTACCTGATTGTTCTGAGAGAAAAAAATATTTTATTACATAACCAAACAAAATGCAGTCCCACATTAAGGGAACAACACTGATAAGGCCTAAAAATCTTGAATTAATAATTTCTTTCAACAAAGAGTCAGTAAAGAAGGTGCATTAAGTCGATAATAATCGATTTTATCGATTTGTCGCAGCCATATTTTAATGTTACGCAGCACTTTTGAGCTTCTTCAGGAAACAATCTCGTGTCAATCAGGTTTGGTTGAGCTGTTTATGTTCACTAATCAATGTTTAGATTTTAATAAAAGACTATTTTGAACCCGTTTCTTATAAAGCGATCGAGTCTCTTCAGAAAATTTGGACAAACGTTAAACCGCTCAGATAATATGGATTAATTCTTTTAAAATCTCTTTATGAATTTCAAAGGGTATAAGTGGTAGTTGTGTAGCTGTCAATGGAGGGACAGAAAGCTTTTAGATTTCATCAAAAAGATATTCATTAGTGTTACAAAGATGAACGAAAGTCTTAGGGGTTTGGGACGACACGAGGGTGAGTAATTAATGACAAAATTTTCATCTTTGGGTGAACGTGAACTAAACATTTAATTACTCATCGGACCCGATGTGCTACAATTAATTATTTATAGTAACGTTAGACACAGTCAACACCCGTTTACACCACGTAGCTATTTCCAAAGATGCTAATCTCTAAAGGTTTAATTTGAGCTGCTTTAGCATCCTTATATCACCTAGCTTACTTTACTGCTGCATAAATCATCACGTTCTTAACTGAAGCCACATGAGTTACACTCACTTTCTTGCGGAGTTAACTACAATTTAACATGTAACATGCCAACTAGCATGATTAAAGCTAAAGTGTCACAGCGGATACTCACTACAAATTGTGACTGTCAAAGCACATAGTTATAGTAAATGTAAAACAGCTGAACTGCAGTTCTGTTGATACGAGAGTAACGTTAACTGAATACAGTTAACGTTAACGCTAGATCGATATGCATCGTATGTCTTGTCACACCTCCTAAAGTGTTTAATGCGCCCATTCGGCCAGTTAAACTGACGTAACTGATGGAAATGTGTCACAACGAAGGTAAATACAGTCTTACCTGTATGTGGTTGTCTACAGCAGCATAAGCTGCCAGTTTTTTGGCCTCTTCAGCCATGAGAGTGCCGTGGTATCGCCTGCTCCTGCTGCTGCTACACACGTGTTTTTCCCCCGGCAGAAAGAGGAGGAGAGATCTGCTACTGATCACTGCAAACTCAGCCCACCTCTGCAGCCTCATCACACAGCGCGTCCACGATCACAACAATAAAATACTTGCCACGCTTGTATGTACATGCACGCGCAGAACCGAAAAAGAAAGGACAGTAAACAATATATTAAAGGACGCTCACAAAATTGAGTCAAAATAACACCTGTCAGAGAAGTACGAGTTCAGGTGTTTTCATAACAGGCGTGTGTTCTTTGACCCAATAGCAGAGCAGAATACAGGAGCGATGTCCGATTCTAGAACGAATTGTTCTTTTGAGTCGGATCTTTTAAACGAGTCGGTTGCGCAAACCCGTTCTTAAAGGGATAGTTCACCCAAGAATGGAAATTCTATCATCATTTATTCACTCTTGTCGTTCCAAACCCGTAAGAACTTCGGAACACAAATGAAGATCTTTTTGATGAAATCTGAGAACTTTCTGTCTCTCCATTTACCAATACTAGGCTACAGCTAAATGCAACTACCATTTTCTTCTTCTTCTCTTATCAACTACCATTTTGATACTTCAAAAAGTTAATAAAAAGATCGTAAAACTAATCATTAATTGAGCGTTTAGTCAAATTTTCTGAAGAGACTTGATGAACAGATTTAATTTAGGCTTTTATTCACATATAATTAAACATTGATCAGCGAACATAAACAGAAGCTCAACCGAACCTGCTTGATGCTCGAGAACAAACCTCTTGGAACCAATTGTGCTGTGTAACACAGGAGAATGAATTGGTTCCCTTTCAAGGCGGTCACTTCGACATTACGTCATACTGACGTATATGGGAACTCCTCCCTTCTCCATTTTCACTGAAATCTTATAGGTTAACGCCAGCTGGAGACAGCTGGCCAATTAACGCAAAACATGCAAATGCTGACCGGTCCGCGGGCAGTATAAATAGCATGGGCGCGACAATTACGTCAGAATCTCTTTCTTCACGCTAGAAGTCTTATCTGAAGTCATCGTGGAAGTTGCAATAGAGGTTACTCACCATGTTTCCTCCCCGCATCCGATGGCTGCTACATGCCAGATATGTGCGGTATTGACTCGCTCTACCCAAACAAGGATCTACCGAGGCCGCACTCACGGACGGCAGGCATACGTGCTGGTCTACCAGTGCGCGCCCTCATAAACCCGGGCATCAGCAGGGATGAGGCCCACTGCCGCCAGCGGCAGCTGGTGGGCCCTCTCACGCCCAAAGAAGAGTTAACAGTCGTTCTCCCCTGTGGCCCAGTGGCGGAACCCGAAACCTTCGCGCGAGAGACCCGTGTTCGATCCCGGCTCTCGCAGCAGATACATTTTAACCTGCCCGTCGCCTCTCCGGTCCTTTTCGCGGGCTCGCTAGAAGGACTCGACGCGATAGGCTTCGTCGGAAAGGATACTTTTATAATTTTACTTAGCCCGGTATCTAACAGCCAGGCTACTTCAAGAAAGATTCCGTCTTCACGACGTCCTATGGTAAGTCATGCGAAGACGCATCCAGAGAGACGAGGCAAGGCCATGGCTCTGTGTCTAAAGGCGCGAAAGTGGTTGTTTCCCCCTGTGGCTCAGTGGCGAAACCCAAAGCCGTCGCACGGGAGACCCGTGTTCGATCCCAGCTCTCACAGCAGATAAAATTTAGTCTCGCCGCGGCCAGACATTAAACCGAAACTTTTGATCTCTATACGGTCCAGCCTTCCTCGATGTCTCTCTTCGTCGGCACCTCGTCCCGCCTAATTCGGCTACAGCCGCCAAAACGGTTCGAACCCGAAACGAACCGGATCTTCACCGTTGGCAGAGGGCGGGACCGGGAATGTGGCGACACAGGCCACGGAGAACGCCGCGCCAGGACGCCCCGCTCTGGTAATGGAGGTGCACAGCTTACAGCTTATGTCGTCAGGCTGCCCTGTATCCTTCAGTGCAACTGGCCATTCTGATTTAACCACGTATCCACAGTTGTTGTCGCTACGCCACTGACGCTGTGTTTATGTTCAGACTGCACACTGATATGTGCTATGATTTGTGCCGTCATATATTGCCCTGTTTCTTTCAGTGCGAATGGCTATTCTGATTACCACGTATTCACAGTTGTTATCGCTATGCCACTGACGCTGTGTTTATGTACACACTGCACACTGATATGTGCTATGATTTAACTGTTGTGCCCTTATATATTGCCCTGTGTCCCTCAGTGCAACTGGCCATTCTGATTTAACCACGTATTCACAGTTGTTGTCGCTACGCCACTGACGCTGTGTTTATGTTCACACTGCACACTGATATGTGCTAAGATTTGCGCCGTTATATGCTGCCCTGCTTTCTCAGTGCAAATGGCTATTCTGATTACCACGTATTCACAGTTGTTGTGCGATGAAATGACGCTGTGTTTACGTGCAGTCTACACACTGATATGTGTTCATGATTCATGCCGCTATAAATTGCCCTGTATCCTTCAGTGCAACTGGCTATTCTGATTCACAGTTGTGCGATGCCACTGACGCTGTGTTTATGTACACTGATATGTGTGTGTTATGCTTATGCCACGATATTGCCCTGTACCCTTCAGTGCAACTGGCTATTCTGATTACTACGTATTCCAGCCCGTTCTCATCCCAAAGCGTAATATATTGACTCTTTTGACAAAGCGTCTATATCCAACGCACATGGCACCCTTTAGCGTCATATGAGACGCAGATATATGGCGCCTCCTAGTGGTCTAACCCTAACACTACCCCAGACCTAAACCTACCCAAAACCGAAGCGTGTTATATTGACGCTAAAGGGTGCCATGTGCGTTGGATATAGACGCTTTGTCAAAAGAGTCAATATATTACGCTTTGGGATGAGAATGCGTTGCGTATTCACAGTTGTTGCGATGCAACGGACGCTGTGTTTCGTACACACTACGCACTGTTATGTGTATGATTTATGCCATTATATATTGCCCTGTTCCTTATCCTTCAGTGCAAATGGCTATTCCGATTACTACGTATTCACAGTCTTGCGATGCAACTGACGCTGTGTTACGTACACACTGTACACTGCGTTATGAATTTTGCCGTTGTTGCCCTGTATCCTTCAGTGCAAATGGCTATTCTGATTACTATGTATTCACAGTTGTTGTGCGATGCAACTGACGCTGTGTTACGTACACACTACACAGCGTTATGTGTTGGGATTTATGCCATTATATATTGCCCTGTAATTTTCAGTGCAAATGGCTATTCTGATTACTATGCAGTACGTATTCACAGTTGTTGTGCGATGCAACTGACGCTGTGTTTATGTACACACTACACACTATGTGTTATGAATTTTGCCGTTGTATTTTGCCCTGTATCCTTCAGTGCAAATAACTATTCTGATTACTACGTATTCACAGTGTGGCACGATGCAACTGACACTGTGTTACGTACATACAACTCACTGTTATGTGTAATGATTTATGCCATTATATATTGCCCTGTGTCCTTCAGTGCAAATGGCTATTCTGATTACTACGCAGTGCATATTCACAGTTGTCGTGTGATGCAACTGACGCCGTGTCTATGTACACTCTACACACTGTATGTGTTATGATTTATGCCGTTGTACATTGCCCTGTATCCTTCAGTGCAAATGGCTATTCTGATTACGTACACAGTTGTTGTGCGGTGCAACTGACGCTGTGTACACGCTACGCACTGATGTGCTATGTTTACGCCGCTAAATATTGCCCTGTATCATCAGTGCAACCGGCTATTCTGACTTACTATGTATTCACAGTCGATGTCGCGATGCCTCTGACGCTGTGTTTTTGTACACACTAATGTGACTATGCTATCGCGTTGCCCTGTATCCTTCAGTGCACCTAGCTATCCTATCTAACTGTGCATAGTCACAGTTTGTCGCTACGGCGACTTGCGCTGCATCTGTGTCCACACTGAAGCGATTATGCACTTATGTTGCTAACGTAACTGACCATTATGTGAACTGTGCATATTCATGCAGTCTCGGTCGCTTCGTCGACTTGCACCGCATTATACACTCAGATGTTTGAAATGTGCACACTGATGGGTAATGCTGTTATGTTGCCCTCTATCCTTCAGTGCAACATCCAGCTATCCTATCTAACTGCATATTCAGTTCTGTCGCTATGGCGACTACACGGCACGTACAAGGACGTGTTTTTGCTATTTTGTTGCCCTGTTTCCTTCAGTGCAAAACTAGCTATCCTAATCTAACCGTGCATATTCACAGTTCTGGATGTATGTACGTAAACGGATGTGTTATGCTGTAATGCTGCCCTGTTTCCTTCAGTGCTGCTAGCCATCCTAATCTAACTATGCATCTTAGTTTCTGTCTCTACACAGTTTCTGTTGCTACAGCGACTTACGCTGCGTTATGTACATGCAAGGATGCGCTATTCCTTACTCACTTGTGTTATGCTGCCATGTTGCCCTGTATTTTCAGTGCAACTAGCTATCCCAGTCAAACTGTGCATATTCACAGTCTCCGTCGATACGGCGACATGCGCTGCATTTATTTACAAATGGATGTGTTCATGCAGCGGTGTTGCCCCTTATCCTTCAGCCTAATACGGAGCTAACTGCGTGTATTAAGTTGGCGCTACAGCGACCTATGCTGTACGTGCATGTGCTACGCTGTTATATTGCCCCGTTCCTATCAGGGCAACTGGTTATTCTGTGCTAACTCATATATTCACAGTTGTAGCTACAGTTATGACTGTGTTTGTTTGCTTACTGAGGTGCTATGCTATTATGGGGCTATTTTCTAACTGCGTATATTCACAGTTGTCGTCGCTACGGCCACTGGCACTGTGTTTATGTACATTCAGTTATGTGTTGACATACCATTGTAAGTTTGATGCACCACCTTAGCGTCGTGGGTTCGGTGAGTTTTATCAATGTACTCATGAAACTGTTACCACAAGCTGTGCAGTAGTCTGTATTGCAGAGTTACCATTGCTGCTAACTCTGTGTTATGACTATAAGGTTACATAGCTGTTTCCACATTACGCAGTAGTTCCAACGTACTGTTAACTCTGTGTGTGGCTTAAGGTTATGCAGCTGTCACCGCTATGCCGTCGACACTGTGTTAGCTCTTGTGCTCGAGTGCTTATGGTGTTGTGCTGCCCTGTCCAGTGCAGCCTTCGCCTCATTGCAGTGGATGCGCAACTTGGTAAGCCGGAGCAGACGTTGGTCTAGTTTCGCCTATCAGTTTTGAGTGCTCCTAGCGGCGCTGCTGGCTTAGAACTGTTGTTCCTGTGGGAGTGTAGCTTGACCCCGTTCAGGGCTTATCTTCACTGCGCTCACGGCGGGATTCTATACAGTTCCCATATACGTCAGTATGACGTAATGTCGAAGTGACCGCCTTGAAAGGGAACGTCTCCGGTTACTATCGTAACCTCGGTTCCCTGAGAGGCGGGAACGAGACATTACGTCAACCGCCGTGCTCGCCGTTTGATCAGCTGTGCTAGCATTCAGTCTTGATTCTGACGTAATTGACCGTTCGCAAAAGCCACGCCCCCTAGTTATTGTTGCTACGCCCGTCAAACAAATGGTCAAACACGACCAGCGCGACAGATTGCCATGACGGGAAGAGGTATACCCGTGCGTGTCAGTGACCTTTTTTGGAGCAATACCTCAGCGATATCCTCCAGATCGAGGCAAAAGGGGTTACAGTATGCAGTGGAGGGATATATTCAAAATATAAACATACGCAATGAAGGAGACACGACTACTATCGAGGCGAATGCGTATACCGGTCTCAAGCGAAATCTGAGAAACCCCATGACCTGTTACCTCAAATGCAACCAGCACAGCCTTGAAGAAGATTTTATAGACTGGTTCAGTGGCTAATGTTTGGAGTTAGAAATATATAACTCGCGCTGCATATTTAGTAATTTTGCCTCAGATACAGGATTATTCGCTTTAACAAGCAGGTTGTTCATTACCACGGCAACGGCTTGCGTGTCATGCTGAATGCCATTTTCGTGTTTAAAAAGTAACTAAACATAAGAAAGAGACGGAAAGATGCAGATAACCATAACGTTATATTATTTAAGGTTATTTCTATTCGTTACGATATTGATATATGAACTGATGTTGTTAAGTAAGCATGCTTTCCCCGTTGCGAACGTGCACTGTAACGTTAGTCTACGGGTGCTGCACTGCTGCTCATTTTCCCCTGAGAATATCATGTTAACAACAACCCTTTAGAAAACGTAATTCCTTTGTGGATCCTCTTGATCTGGTTTCTCCATGTTTCTTTGACTAATCTCAGTGTCTCAGTCTCACGCACGCTGCACGCGAGTTAACCATGTTCGACACATTTAACTGGGAGTGGGGCCGTCCTCACTGTTTTATCCATTGTAGGCACCGCTCACGTTGTGTTTTCGGCTTTGGAAACTGAAAAAACACAACTCCTCTCTCGGGGTACCTAGTGTCCGATTTACAAACGCCGTAGGCGCACCGCTTCACCATCTTGCTTGGAGTCAATGTTTGACGGACCTGCTCACATAGTAACGGTTGCTATGATGTGTGATTGGACAATGGCCGTTTTGTGGGAGGGGCCTGCGAACGGTCAATTGTCGCGCCCATGCTATTTATACTGCCCGCGGACCGGTCAGCATTTGCATGTTTTGCGTCAATTGGCCAGCTGTCTCCAGCTGGCGTTAACCTATAAGATTTCAGTGAAAATGGAGAAGGGAGGAGTTCCCATATACGTCAGTATGACGTAATGTCTCGTTTCCGCCTCTCAGGGAACCGAGGTTACGATAGTAACCGGAGACGTTCTCGCATGTCGATTGAGCTTCAACATGATTGAGCTTCTGTTTACCACAACTGATGTGTGAGTTGAGGAGTGTGTAAATTCATTTCTGGGTGAACTATCACTTTAACATTCAAGAAAAAAGCATTTAGAGTGAACCGAGGATTTGACTGATGGGACGAGTAGTACCTAGGGTTGCCACCCGTCCCGGTTTTCCCGGGATTGTTCTCTTTTTTGATGTCCTTCAAAGCTGGAAACACCCCTGGTTGACCCCTCCCCCTCAAAGTGTCCCGGTTTTTCACAAATCAAAGGTGGCAACCCTAGTAGTACCTACTTTAATAACTGAATAGCATAAATATCACAAATTACATGTAGAAATGTTTACAACTATTGGTGGTCTATCTATCTTTTTAAACACATTCACAAATATTGCATTTGATTTTAAAACATAAAACATGCAGCCGAGAGATAACATATTTTAAATATCTTGTTCTCATTATTATTATTATTATTATGAGTCAGGCTTCCCATCTATGATCTATATAATTTTAACAACACTTAACATGACCATTAGAGGGCAGTTAATGCCTACATTACAAAATTACTAGATTTATAAAATCTAAAATATTGTGGAATTTTTAGTATGAACAAAGACTAGTGACATGATTAGATCAGTTTGACTATGTTTCTAAAAAAAAACCCATTGGCATTTAGTAGTGAAAATGAACTGTAGCCAACATAAATAGAAAACAGAGGAGCGCTGAAACAGATGGGTATCAATATATCTCTTTATTTGGCAATCAGCTTGAAATGATCTAGATTTCAGTGTATAGCATACCCCTATTAAACCCACACCATCCTTCCAATAAACATGTCTCTTATTTACCTTAGTTTTTACATATTGCAGTTTACAAATTTAGCTTATCTGTTTGACAAAATCGATTTGACAATGAATATTTTTTATGTGCTTTATAAAAATCTACACATTATACATTCATGATTAGAAAATAAAAAATCCAAAACAATATTTAAACATCACAGAACAAAACTCGTCAACATATCCCACCCAGGTGTAAGCGACCACAAATTAAAGTTGAATACTTCAATATTACAGTAAATACTGAGAGATGTCCAATGACAAACAGGATTACTGAAGGGAAGTTGTTTTTACACCAGAGGTCTGGACTCAAGGAGAATAACTATGATACGGTTACAGGGAAGATAGAGAGCAAGAAATGGGAATGCTGATTACGCAAGTGCTGCGAGATCTTCAAGAGAAAACCATCTTCTTCAATAGTACGCCTAATCTCTCTCTGAAGCTTAAAGCTCTCCATGTCTAGTCTGATTCTCAGCTTTCTCTAATCTCACATTGCCAATGATTAAGTGCACAGGTGCTCACTTTTTTGCCCACAGTTAATCAAACCATGTCTTTCTTTGTGTGCCTTCATTTACAGCATCTATTTTGGGAATGTAATGTAGTTCGATGGGTCAAAATCACCAAAGATATCTGCATCTTCCAATTTCTTGGGATCTCTAAGAGGGTTTTATTCAGAAAGACCGCAAACAACTATAAACAACTATGAAGTAAGGATATAATGGAACTATACCTTCAATTGACCATTATTTCTAGTTGCTTTTAATAATAACACAAATTACGTAATAGTAATACAAATCAAAAGTTTCAATGTCTTATAAAAGGCATGCTTTCTCTGTTTTAAATATATATTGTGAGATGGACGGACATGATCGTGTGCGTTTAAGTAAGTGCCTTTCTTTTGGGCATTGTTTATAATCATGCCTCTGTGTGTGCGTGTCTTGTGTGTGTGTGTGTGTGTGTGTGTGTGTGTGTGTGTGTGTGTGTGTGTGTGTGTGTGTGTGTGTGTGTGTGTGAGAGAGACTGAGGAAGGTACACAGTCGTGGTGTCTTGTGATGTGCAAAGCTTAAATGTCAGAGTCCATTCAGCAGTGAGTAAGGTCCACAGAAATGCTGCTTGTTTTTCTCCTTTTCCCTGAAACCCCAGCGCTTAGGATACATTCTCAACACATCAGTGGGTATCCAAACTAGAAGTCTATTACCTCGAAAGTAAACTCTCTTTAGAAAACTCTAAAATATTGATAGCCTCTAATAATCCGCTGTATTGCTATGAGACACAGTTTCCTAATAAGGTGAGTGTATTGTTTTGGTCCATGCTCATGACATTATTACTTATTTGCGCTGATATGTACCAAAATGCACTGGAAAATCTGCGATTGACTGCTTTTTTTTACTTGACGTATGAGAGTTTGTGCACTGGGTGAGCGTGCGTGCGAGTCAGTGTTCAGCATTAAGAGGTATTGCTACAGATTCAGTTCAGTCTCTTGTTCAAAAACCAGCTGTGTTTGTGTCCAAAAACACTATGATCGGAGATGGAGAGAACACTCGTGTAAATTAGTCATGGCACAATTGTTGAGAATAAATGTGATGGTTTCCTACGTTTTCTAAAACAAGTGTTTGATCTGTACTGTGATGCATGGATACATCAGAATAGACTAGAGAGGGGGGGAGGGGGCTTTGGTGTACTATTCAGATCATGAGAGAAGCAGTGACTGACCAAGGTCAATAGTCAAACAGTCAGACAGCGGTCTGTCTTTCTACTCTGTCTTGAACAGGCAGCTCATCTTCCCCCTCTCTTGTTCTGTCTTCAAATATCCTTCTTTTCTAATCTCTCGTTCTATTACTCTATTACTCGTTCAGTGCTTCACCAGAATGCCTGCTGTTAAACACTAGAATCAGTTTGTTTTTCCTCCCAGAGTTTTGCATTTCAGAAATACAATTCCCAGAGTCCTTTGCTCAGAGGCTCAGTGTGCATGCGTTCACATGCGCTGTGCATCCATAATGTCCAGGTACTTAGCCTCAATGATCCTGGGCAGTAGACAGTTCCTGAGGCAGAGGCACAATTCAAAGTGTGTTAATATCATATATTCAAAGTATGGTAATATCATATATATTCGAGCAGGATTCGAACCGGCGTGGGTGGTGGGCGTGCTAACAAGGACGATAAAGACCGCAGCCTCTAGTGTCAGTCACTAGACCGCCTCTTGAGGCCTACCTGCACAGCTCTTACTAGCTTACTATCAAAAAGAGAGTGAGACAGAGCTCGTAATAAAACAAGAATCAACATTGGCTTGGCTTTTCGAAGATGACGAGAACTGAGGGATTTGAAATGTGGTAAAAACGACGCAGAGAGTTAGGTATTTTATTGAACAGATAAATTGCCATATGTGGCTCTCTAACAGAGTTCATTGTAAGCGTAAGCGTCCTTGAGCCCTGGAAAGGCGCTCTATAAATAAAACTTATTATTATTATTGTAAAGCATTATCTATTGTGAACGGTTATTTCATTATGGTTGTTGTAGCGCTGTGCTGGAATTTATTTTTAAAGACGTTCTTCCGCAAAATGCATACATGGTGTGACTGCGTAGGTCAATAAGTGTCTATAAATATCAGACAATTTTACCTTATTATGACAAAACAATGCTTTAAAATGTTATTTTTTTGACCTTGAAATTCAATCACTTGCTAAATATTTTGAAACTTCTGAAATAATTGATCAAAATGTGTGCACTCACATGTATTCAAATAGTAAGGAAAATATGTTATTAGTTTTTACTTGAAAGTTGTACTACATGACATTAAAGTCATTACATTTAAATAATTCTTAACAATGGTATACAAGTTTTTCAAAACCATATGAAACTAACGTGAGTACATTCCTAAGAACTATTAAAGATTTTCCCTTTCCTTTCATTCTTCATTCTGTCGTATGACCTTTAGCAAACACGATTTATTACACATGCACGTGCCTAGCAATACACACACAACACAGAGAGACAGGAGTTTGTGACTTGAGAGCTGGAGGCATTTCAGAACTCACCTGATGGGTATGAGGATAAACATTAGCAGAGGAAAGATCATCTTCATATACGGGAGAGGGTACATCCCAAACGCACAGAGGAAAAGCAGCTGCACCATCTGAAGGAAAGTGAAGTAATGGATCTTTCTCTGCGGCACCTTGCGGATGTAGTGGGTTGGCGGGTAGGATGTCTGAGAAAGAGTAAAGGGCAATTGAGTGATAAAGAAAGAGAAGATGATGGGACTAAGATCCATTCATGTATGGACATTTCACTTACATGTGTCTCCACAATACAAAAATAAATCACATCTAAATCAGGGCTATATGCATACATAATGGAGATCACATTTGTGATGATGCCAATGCCCAGCAGTGAAATTTTGTGGTTGATACAGCCTCATGTCTCATCTCTGATTATTTGACTTCCAAACTACCATATGCTGGCATATAGTTCTGTTTGAGAGAGAAAAAATGACATATGTGGCCGGAATAACCATTTACTATGGATGTGCCAGGATAGTTGACTAAAAGTCCAACAACCAGTGTTGGGTAAGTTACTTTAAAAAAGTAATTACCGAAGTTATAGTTACTAGTTACTTCTCACAAAAAGTAATTGAGTTAGTAACTGAGTTACATCATTACAAAAGTAACTAATTACCAGGGAAATGAACTATTGCGTTACTTAAAAAAAATATATATTTTAATATGTGAAATAACTTGTATACCCCCAATACTAAATATGTTAAATTAATTAAATGGACACTAATAGAATAAATTATTATTATAAAACATTGTACACTAATCTACACTATTTTAATGTTAAGTGGGATAATGTGAGAGACACCTATTAACTTAAATATTAAAATATTATCATTACTATAGTGGAACTACAAAACACAATAGATGGTTTAGAACTTTTAATATTTATTGCACAGGCCACAAATAAATTGTGCTTATTAAGAAATGTACCAAAAATAAATAAATAGTAATAAAAAATATACATACACGTACACTCTTTGTAGTGGAAAATGATAAAACTCACACCTTTACAACTGGTAGACGCATTTTCTTCCTCACAAAAGTAAACAGTTTAACAAAAGTGCTCTCAATATAATACTGAACAATGTAACAACATAAATAATAATGATAAAATATAATATTTTGGGGGGTTTATTTTTATATATCCTACAGAGGACGTCATCATCAGAGAGGGTATTTAAGCCAAATTCTAGTCGTGTTTGCCACACGTGTTCACAACCGGTCAAACAAAGATGTTTTCTTTGAAAGTTCCCTGCAGGTTATTTTGGAGTTTTACTTTATAACCATGTAAACTAATTAAAACGTTGGCGTTGCAGATGATACCAATATGCTACAGAGTGTTTCTAATGCTGAAATGTGTCATTTATTTATAAACAAACTATATTATGCTCGGACACATTCGGTCTATCTCGCGCACTGTCGAGCGCGCTCTCGGACACACTCGGTCTATCTCGCGCACTGTCGAGCGCGCTCTCAGACACACTCGGTCTATCTCGCGCACTGTCGACTCGAGCGCGCTCTCGGACACACTCGGTCTATCTCGCGCACTGTCGAGCGCGCTCTCGGACACACTCGGTCTATCTCGCGCACTGTCGAGCGCGCTCTCAGACACACTCGGTCTATCTCGCGCACTGTCGACTCGAGCGCGCTCTCGGACACACTCGGTCTATCTCGCGCACTGTCGAGCGCGCTCTCGGACACTCGGTCTATCTCGCGCACTGTCGAGCGCACCCTCGGACACACTCGGTCTATCTCGCGCACTGTCGAGCGCGCTCTCAGACACACTCGGTCTATCTCGCGCACTGTCGACTCGAGCGCGCTCTCGGACACACTCGGTCTATCTCGCGCACTGTCGAGCGCGCTCTCGGACACACTCGGTCTATCTCGCGCACTGTCGAGCGCGCTCTCAGACACACTCGGTCTATCTCGCGCACTGTCGACTCGAGCGCGCTCTCGGACACACTCGGTCTATCTCGCGCACTGTCGAGCGCGCTCTCGGACACTCGGTCTATCTCGCGCACTGTCGAGCGCACCCTCGGACACACTCGGTCTATCTCGCGCACTGTCGAGCGCGCTCTCAGACACACTCGGTCTATCTCGCGCACTGTCGACTCGAGCGCGCTCTCGGACACACTCGGTCTATCTCGCGCACTGTCGAGCGCGCTCTCGGCCACACGGTCTATCTCGCGCACTGTCGAGCGCGCTCTCGGACACTCGGTATATATCGCGCACTGTCGAGCGCGCTCTCGGACACAAGGTCTATCTCGCGCACTGTCGAGCGCGCTCTCGGACACTCTGTATATATCGCGCACTGTCGAGCGCGCTCTCGGACACACTCGGCCTATCTCGCGCGCTCTCAGACACACTCGGTCTATCTCGCGCACTGTCGAGCGCGCTCTTGGACACACTCTGTCTATCTCGCGCGCTCTCAGACACACTCGGTCTATCTCGCGCACTGTCGAGCGCGCTCTTGGACACACTCGGTCTATCTTGCGCGCTCTCAGACACACTCGGTCTATCTCGCGCACTGTCGAGCGCGCTCTCGGACACACTCGGTCTATCTCGCGCACTGTCGAGCAGCAAATTTTTTGCATGGCTTCCACAAAAACATAAAGCAGCACAACTGATTTCAACATAAGAAGAATAAGAATAAATGTTTCTTAAGGAGGAAATCAGCATATTAGAATGATTTCTGAAGGATCATGAGACACTGAAAATTCAGTTTTGACATCACAGGAGTAATTAACAGTTTAAAAGATATTCAAAGAGAAAGTAGTTATTTTAAACTGTAATAATATTTCACAATGTTTTTTACTGTATTTTTGATCAAATAAATTCAGCCTTGGTGTTCACCCAAGACATAAGAACCACCATTTACTAGGGATGTGCCAGGATGGTTGACTTATTGTCCAACAATCACCTAGTCGGTTAGTGAGGTCAACAAGTTAATTATATAGTGTTGTGCTTAAACTTACATTAACTTAATAGTTGATTAATAATTAATAAAAATAGTTTTAACAAACAACCGGAGCCCAAGAACTCAGGTTACACTGAAACATTCTGCTTGCAGGATGTGAATAAGTGGTTTTGTGCCAATCTGTATTGTATCTTTTGATTTTGATGACCCACCAACTATTTGATTATGAAACATTTTGCCCATCCCTAGCATTTAGACAGATTTAAAGCCACCATTTACGATTGGCTCAGTAAAAATGAACAAAACGACCAGGTGCTAAACTAATAGCCACAAAATGCATCAATGGAGACCAAGTCATTTCTGACCATGACAAGTAGAGGGCGCTCTGTTGCTTTATTTGCACAGCGGATGCACCGCTCTCTTCTGTGTTCTTACTTGTACAACACCTATGACTTTTATTTGCCTTTGTTTTCATCAAAGACACACACGCACACACTCACTTGTTCTTTGAGTAGCAGAGCCATGCGGTCGCACATTTGATTGCCGTCAATGGAGGTGAGAGCGATGTAGAGGAAGAGCCCATAAAGCACAGGCTTAGGAATCCACTGCAGGGGCACCGGCAGCAGAAACAAGCTCACACCTATCAGGATGTTAGCCACGAGCGAGGTCACTCGCGTCTCCTTCACACTCACTATACTACACACACAGACATGTACACACAGACAAACACACACAAAGGCGTCATTTAAAACCAAGCACACTGTGCCAATAACTGCTATAATGACGTTTGTGCTTCACAGATTGATTGCGATTGTAATTGCTTGTGAGCGTGTGGCTCGTCGATGTGGTGTGTGCTCACGTCTCATAAAGGTGTCCTCCTTCCACCCTTTCCTCCACGATGGCCAGCTGTCTGACGTGTAGAGTAGAGTGCGGGAACGCAGCATGCATCCACGGCAAGCCCAGCACAGACATCAAAATATTAATCAAGCCAGACAGAGTCAGGTCCCAGTGATACGCCGTGCCCTTCAGTAACCTGTGGCACACACACACACACACACACACAGTCACGACAGCATAATCTGACCCAGTGTCCTATCCAGGTGCAAAGTGACAAGTTTCCAGCGACCAATCATAATATATTTGATGTTTAATATGCAGTTAGGTGCATGCTGGGTGTCATTTAAATAACATAAATTACCAATTAAAAGTTTGGGGTCAGTATGTTTTTTTGAAAGAAATTAATACGTTTAATCATCAAGGATGCATTAAATTGATCAAAAGTGAGAGTAAAGACATGTATAATGTTACAAACGATTTCGAATAAATGCTACTTTCTATTCATCAACGAATCCTGAATAAAATGCGTCACAAAAATATTTAGAAGCATAACAGCTTTCAACATTGCAGAAATTCTGCTTTGCCATCACAGGAATAAATTACATTTGAAAATGTATTAAAATAGTGAGCATTTATTTTAAATTGTAAAAATATTTCTTAATTAAGATTTTGTAAAGGATACGATGACACGATCAAAGAGGTTCAAATGAAACACCTTCCGTTTTAAGTTTTCCAAGGCTAAATTAATGATAATTTGCATAAAGATGGTTGCTGCTGCTCTTTGAAAATAAATGGCTGTAGGACGCTTTGACGCTACAAATCACTGCCAGTGCTCAATACTCCTACACATGAAAGAGGTCGCTTGTCACTTTATCACATTGTGCCTGGTTAGGTTAATGTTTGGTTCATTTTAATAATCATTGTGATGAAGCCACTTAAGAGTGGTGAGATGTTTCAAAAATAAACTAATTTCAAAAGACATGAACCTGTTTTCGGGTGCATTTGTGAGAGAAACTACAATGTTCTGGTCGATGAAGATGAGGATAAACAGGAGGAAGCCCAAACCCATTGCACTCAGAACACTTGCTCCAGACAGCTTATCCAGTGGGGCTATTTGAAACATTGGACCTTCATGGAAGTTAAACACTGGCACTGGAAGAGAGCACACATAACACAGTGAACCTCAGCTCACACACCATAACAGACCATCCAGCAAAAACCAGACCTTCCAGGATAGTGTGATTACATCTACAGTAATTGTTAAATAGTCGCCTCTGATTTTGCTCATTTGCATTCAAAAAATGAATGTGTGAAAAATGGCCACAGAACAAACTGCAACAAAATAAGGGCACAACCCAAGTTAACCAAAGCACGATAGCATTGTATACATTTCAGGTAGCGTAATTTGTTGTTGGAATATTGGTTTAGGTTAAAAACTGACCACATTTAATTAAAATCCTAAGTTTAGCACAAGATAGGAACATTATGATAGGAACATTATTTTTATAGGAACGTTAACAGTAGCATGATTAGAATCTCTGACTTTTACAGGACAACAAAATTATAGTAACACTGAATATGTTCATAGGAAGGTAGGTATGTGTAAGCAGTGTACCTTGCTTTATTTAGTTTGTGGCTTTATTGTTTAAAATTGCTACCAGGTGATTATTTTGTCCACAAGCACAATCTGGGATAAAATACAAATCAATTTGGGAACTCAAGAGAGTTTCTCGCAACTCGAGTTATAAGTCCAATTCTGAGGAATTTGACTGACTTTTTTTTCTCGGAATTGTGAGTTTATATCTCGCAATTCTGACTTTATAACTCACAATTGCAAGTTTATATCAAGCAATTCTGAGAGAAAAAAAGTCTGAATTGTGAGATAAAAAGTCGCAATTACCTTTTTCATTTTTTATTTTGTGGAGAAACAAGCTTTCATACTGTACATATATATGTTTTGGATTGTTTGGCCATTTGCCTGCAGTTTCTGCTTTGATCTAATTTTCAATATGAGCCTCTTGACTGCAGCATTGGAACGCTGAGTGAATGTTTAAAGAGCCTGAGGTAAGAAGTAAAATCTCACTCTGATAACCAAGTTATAAACTCCCACACCAAACAGATGACAGAGGAGTTGGAGGAATAATGTAGTGATAGTCGGAGTGGAGTGGCTTTGCTGTAATGTGCTGGCTGTAGAGAGGGAGGAAGCGTACAGGCAGTGTGTGTGTGTGTGTGTGTGTGTGTGTGTGTGTGTGTGTGTGTGTGTGTGTGTGTGTGTGTGTGTGTGTGTGTGTGTGTGTGTGTGTGTGTGTCTCTAAGTGTTGGTAAGGCCATACGTTTTGGCAAGCTTTCCTGGCTTGAAAAACTGAGCCAAAATTTTAACTGATTCTCAGTACTGAATCTTCTCTGCTATTTGCATCTCATTTAAAATTGCTGCATTTTGACATGTCGAAGATAATCTCTCAATATGATTAAAGACATTTACATAATAAAGCAGTTTTATCATTATGAATGTTTTGTTTTTTCTCTGCTTAAATTATACCATGAATAAGCTCACTTACTTTACCTTATATTAAATACTATTATCATGATCAAAACAAAAACACTAATATTGACTATTAGTGAAATAATGTAATGCATATAATATTATTTATATATAATAATAATAATAATAATAGCAAAAACATGGATGATAAACAATGATTAAATGTGAAATAATATAATGAATACAAAAATAAATCATATAAATCATAAGGTTTTGTCAAATAAAAAAATAATAATAGCAAAAACTGTGAAATGTGAAATAATATAAAAAATATAAATATAAATAAATAAAATAAAGAATAATGTTTAATGTCAAATTAAAAAAAAGATAATGACAAATATTATAATAAATATTAGGGAAATGAGAATAAAATAAAATAATAAAAATGTTTAATTGCAAATAAAAAATAACAATAGCAAAATCAAACCCATATTGCTTGCCAAATCCAGAAAAAAAGATCAGTTTAGTATTCTGGTGAAATTAAACAATGTAGAACAAAAACTTTTCCTGTTATTTAAAAAACTGTCTTGAACAAATGTGTACCTTAGTGTCAATGTGTGTGCAACATGAAGACAAATAGTGTCACATGACTCACAGGCAATGTCGTTGAAAACGTATGATCCCACATAAGAGAAGACAAGCACTGAGATAGGCAGAGCACAGTCGGACAGAATCTCTCTCATCTTCACATGCAGAAACGGACTGCCAGGAATAAATGGAAAGATGGGGGTGTCAAAACAGTCACTCTTTAAAATACTCAGTGTGTACGCAGGTGTGTGTGTGTGTTAGAGACAAGAAGAGATCCTCACCTCCTCCTGAACTGGTACAGTGTGTATCCCACCCACAGTGTGCCCATCATGAGGAGGAGACAGAGTAGCGGTCGTGCCCGTGTGCACAGAATGAAGGATTCTGGGAGGGACACAGACCCTGCCTCAGTCAGGTTCAATTCCCCAATATGTACACTTCCACTGATGCGATTCAGCTCTGCCGCACTCCCATTGGCCAAAGTGGGAGCATGATAGTACTCTTGAAAGACTGTAAAGGAGATACCAAGATAAGGTATTACTATTTATATACTGTAAGAATAGGTCAAAATGAATGTACAGTGTACAGTATATGTAGGTTTAAAATTAACGCTAACTGTATGCATTGAGTGAATGTTTTTGAATCGTCAAAATGAACGACTTTCTCAGTGTAACATTTTTACTGTGCCACATATTTATTAAACAATTGGTTTAAACAATAAGCCATCACTTATGACACCTCTCTCAAGTCAAACAAGTGATACAGATGCCAAACTACTAAAAAATACTTTCACTCTACTACAAATACTTCCATAAATGTTCAAATGCATAAAATTCTAATTATTAATCATTTTAATTATTAAAACATATTAATTTTGAAACTATTCAAACATGTAAACTATAAAAAAAAATTAAGATAAAAGGGTACTATTGTACTGGCAAGACTGCCTAAAAAGTACAATATATGTCAGTCTAAAATCATCTTTTAAGTTTGGTGTATGTATTGTGTAAACGTTTTGAACACCTTCCAAAACGTAACATTTCTCCAGCGCCACATCTTTATTGAATAATTGGTTTAAACAATCACAATTACTGATGGAATTTTTGTGGAATCTTGTTTACTGCCAATAACATCAACCAATGCTTTCTGCTGATAACACATGCGCATTAACACATGCACATTTTTGGGATGTCTTTCTTGAACGGCCTGTTTCACATCACAGCAGAACATTTCAAAGGAAGTGGGGTCAGGCCTCTAATTGGGCCATTGTGAAGTGCTGAATTTCTTTTGTTTGAAGCGTTCTGTTGTTGATTGACTCCTGTGTTTCGGATCATTGTCATGTTGCATGACCCAACTTCTTTTGAGTTTTAGATCACAAACAGACGCTCTGACATTCTGCTTCTGATATAACTTGGAATTTTTTGGTTCCTCAGTGACTCCAAGTCGTCCGAACCCTGAGGCAGCAAAACAGCCCCACATCATTATACTCGGCCCACAATCCTTCACAGTTGCAGTGAGGTTCTGGCAATGGTATTAGGAATTTTGTGCTCTTAACATTTATTTCAAGCATTTTTAAAAACTCACATTGAAACTGAATAGTGTCTTAGCTGTTTTTTTTTGTTCCAGGTTTTTTGTCATGTCTGATCTTGCTTCAACTATCACATGTGCAAATGACACTTCTCTCAAAATTCAACACTGGTCTTGCGTCAAACTTAATACAGTTGACAAGCCAATTCATTAAGTTGAAAAAATATGTAAATAATTATTTTGTATTTTGATGACCTAGGAATACTTTTAATTGTTTAGTTTAATTTAATTTAATACTTTATGCTTGTTTTATTGTTTATTTTTTTTTATATTCCTGGTAAGACAAGTACGTTTTGTTTTAAGCAAGTTATCTCAGTCTCTCTAAACCCCCCCTTACCGCTAGCATTCTCTGCTCTGATTGGTCAGACGGCCCAGTATGTTGTGATTGGTCATACACTTGTGCATGTGTTGAAAACTAAACGCCTATTATCATATCTGAATTTCAGATCCGGAGGCTTTCTCAGCACTTGATACACAGTGATACGAATGATGGCATCGGTTTTTCCGTATCAATTCCAGTGCGAGTCCTCATCCTTTTAAAGTGAATGCAAAGTGGATTCGCAGCTCAGAAAACAGCATCTTCTCGACATGTCGACAACATGAACTAAACTCTTCCAGGCCTCAGCTACAACTACAGTGTTTGAGGGCGGGTCAAAGTAGACATTGTTCACGAGCAGCCAATGAAGACCACAGGCTGGCATTATGCAAATTTGTTACATTGTCACATAGAGAAATAACAGGAAGTGAGACTGGAATTGCTGACGACTCGTTTCAGCAGTTCAGAATAATTATTTTTCTTTTAGGTGACAATAATTGTATTAGTCGCGCACTTTAAAAATTTGCAGACATTCACAAACAGTTATATTACACACTGCATGAAAGGTAATATTCTGAAAAGCATAATAGGGGCACTTTAATTCAAAAGTAATCACATTACGAAACTTTAATTCTTTGGTATTTGTGGTGCATTACTGATTAAATTGTTAAGTAATAAGTCATTTGTACATATTTTTAAAGTAACCATATCTGGTTCAGTGTCAACTCTTTAAAGGTCCTTTTGAAACTGGTATTTGTAATCCAGCAGTTCCTAGGTTATGCTTATTTTTTACAGGCAAATGACCTTTGTTTTGCATTTATTGAAGCTGTTTCAGCACACATTAGACTGGCTTTATCTACTAGGAAGAGCAGCAATGGTTCTGAACTGATGGTGCTGATCTGCCTGACTGTAGGCATAAATCTTCCAAATCCCCTGCAAACCTTGAGTTTTATGAGTTCTTATGAGGTTTTCTGAAGTCTCTTTTGATCAGACTAAATTTCACTTGAGCACAATTGTTTGGGAAGAAACAAGTAACATGGTGCTTTCCATTGAGCATAGCAGGTCAAAGCCACAGCTGAGTCCAATTACCTTCTTTTCAAGAGGTCATTATAGTAGAGGTTATCTTGATTGTTTAACACGTTTGTTCAATAAAGACATGGAACTGCAAAATGGTTTGTCTGTGTGTGTTTAAGGCCAGTCGAAAATTACATATACTAGAATACAGATATGTTGTGGACTATAGCATTTTTTGTAGAGTATGATTAAATTTTATTTTTATTTTTCTATATGGAATGGAATGGAAGCAGCGGCAGATCTTTTTTACTTTTTTTGATAGAACCTAGTTCTATCAATTAGTTGTTGATTGGATGAAGGCAGATCTGAATGAGAACTTGCAGTCGATGTTGCAGTTAACTTGCAGTCAACTTGAATGTTTGGAGAAGTCTGGCATTCTGAGCAATCTGTCATCAAGTAATAATATTTTAGTATAAATTAACTGTGAAACTAATGAAACCGATTCTGTAGTGTGACAGCATATTCTCATTATCACTAAACAGTATTATATGTATGTTAAATGAACTGTATAATTTTTTCCTGGCCAGTAACAGTGTAAAATGTTAAATGTCTTTATTTTACAGTGTGACAACTAGCCCCAGTTTCTCTCTATTTCTTATGAAGATCAGACTGTAATCTAAGAATCATTCACACAGAAATCCAGATGATTTCAAAAGGTTTGGCTGTGTATATATGTGTGTGTGTGTGTGTGTGTGTGTGTGTGTGTGTATGTATAGCACTCACTCTTGACAGTGCCCTTAACTGCGTCTGCTACAAAAGCAATGGAAATGAACAAAGCTATCACCTCCTCTATCGACCTGTGGGTCAAAAACATCAACAAAAACATTTCAGTCTTCAAGCAGTGGCATCTGCGTGAGTATGTATATTTGTAGGTGTGTGTCTGACCTTTTGAAAAGCTTAACAAGCAGACTGAGGTTGAAGATTCCTCCCATGATGAGGAAGAGGCTGTTCCACAGGCCGATACATGCATAAAATGCTGCAAAGTCCAGCTCATAATCATCACAGACCCCCCTAATCACTGCAGCCATAGAGAGACAAACACACAGAAGCATTGGAGAAAATTATAGTGATTTTAACTGTTAAAGATTATACTGTAAAAAACTGTTAATTGGTTAACAGTAAGTTCCTTTACTATATACACGGGGAGACTGTAATAGATCTAACCTTACATTTCAAGAAATTTTACAGTAAAATATTTTTAAACATTTTTATAAGTAAAAGAAACAAAGATATACATATAAAAAAAGAACAAATCTTTTTTTTTTTTTTTTTTAGTGAAAAGCCGTAAACATTCACAGAATTCACTGACACTTTACATTTGAAGGTTTTACCTTTTACAGTTTTTCACAATTGCTAACAAGCGTTTACAAGTACTTTTTCAAAACTCTTAACACAGCAACATACCTATCACACAATTGGCCAAATAATTAATTCTCTGGCCAAAACCAAATTTTTCACCCTTACACATGTAGAACCCATGAAAGCTTATTTCTGTCATGGAATAGAAAAAAGATAATTGTGACTTTTTATCTCACAATTCTGACTTTTTATCCTCTCAATTCCTAGTTTATATCTCGCAATTGCAAGAAAAAAAGTCAGAATTGTGAGATAAAAAGTCACAATTACCTTTTATACTTATTTTTATTCTGTGGTTGAAAAAAGCTTCTGGATTTGTTGTTGTTGTTGTTTTCATTTCAGTTAAAGCTTCATGTAAAGCTTTTTCTACAACGATTCCAGTGTCACTGTTCCATATACGCAGATTATGTGGTCTGCGTAGGGCACTAAAAAAAGGGGCACTTTTGTAATTGTAAGCTTTTGAGGTTTTTTTTTATTTTTTTATTTTGTTGTTGTTTGTTTTCTGGGCAGGATTTTTTTTTACAGTAAATGACACAACGTTACTGTCATTAAGAGTCCTCCACACAAACAGAATCACAACTAAGGGTGCGAAAAGAACACAATCAACTCAAATCTCATGACAAGGGATTATAACTCACAGTAAATGTTGATCGTTTGATGTTTAAAAAACTGCTCCCAAACATTTCAATAAAGATTTAAAGAATTCCTGCTGTTATTCCCATGAGAAACCACAAGACAAGATCTTTGATTGGGAAGGATCATTATCATAGATGAATGTGGCAGTTCTGTCCTCATCTGCACATTTTTATCCAAACAGAATTTCGTTGTACTACAGCAAAACCATTTTTCAGGGCAACTCTCCCGCTGGTGACAGTGTGCGATTGCAGCCGCAGGAATGAGCTTTAGAAGGAAATCTCCTCTCAGCCAGGGCAAACATCAAAGTTTGCCCAAACAAATGGCGGCCATATCAGACTCCCATCCTGCAGTTTGTGAGATTAAGAGTCTTGTTCCACCTTATCCTGAGGTTAGCAGAGCTCTCTAAACAGTCAACATCAAAGTATTCAACAAACAGAGTGCTCATCTAAATATTCTGTAAAAAAAACTAAGCTCAAGACCAGACCGCAACGAAAAAGGTAAGCGTGTATGTGAACGTGCATCTATTGTTGCATGTGATTGTGAAGGCATGTATGTACATACCGCTGATGAAAATAGCGATGGGCGCTGTGGTCAGTGGAATGACGAGAGGAGAGCCAGCACACAATGAGTAGATGATTCCACCTATACTCTGCCCGATGATCGTCTTCTGAACATCTAATCAACAGAGAGAACAAATCAGTCTGTCTATCTGTGTGCGTGTGTGTGTGTGTGTGTGTGTGTGTGTGAGAGAGAGAGAGAGAGAGAGAGATCACCAATCTCGCCCCGAGTGCTCTCGTCGTTGAGTGAGCCAAAAGCAATGGCAGGAAGCAGCACAGCAATGTAGAGAAAGATGGACGTCGTCATGAACTTGACCAGGGCTTTGTTATTACCCACTAAACCTGAAACACACACATTTATATAAAATAAAATAAATACATAATATAAAATATATTACTGCTGTCAAAGTTAACTTGTGAGATTAATATGTTTAATGGCATGTCATTTAACATAGTTAGCGTAGTTTGATAATTTTCATTCAGTTTTATTCAGTTATTTCTGACTTTAAATAAATGATAAATTATGAAGGAAGACCTGTAGCAGCATTTGCCGATTTTGTATTGCAGAGATTTCATTGAAGCTCAAATATCGGCTCAAAATAACACAAATATTTTCAAATAACACATATACTATAATAAATCTGTATTTTATCTATTTATAGCTATCACATATAAAATAAATATCATTAGAGCTATATTCACCTGACACAAAACAATAAACAATCTCCATCAGAGTGAAAGCATGAACAGAGACAGTACATATACACTACCATTCAAAAGCTTGGGGTCGGTAAGATTTTTTGATGGTTTTGAAATAGTGTCTTATGCTCACCAAAGTTACATTTGTATGATCAAAAATACAGTAAAAACAGTAATATTGTGAAACATTATTACAATTTAAAATAACTGTTTGAATATATTTTCAAATGTAATTTATTCCTGTGATGGCAAAGCTGAATTTTCAGCATCATTACTCCAGTCTTCAGTGTCACATGATCCTTCAGAAATCATTTGAATATGCTGATTTTCTGCTCAAGAAACATTTCTTATTATTATCAATGTTGAAAACGGTTGTGCTGCGTAATATTTTTGTGGAAACTGTGATACTTTTTAGGATTCTTCAATGAATAGAAAATTCAAAAGAACAGCATTTATTTGAAATGGAAATCTTTTGTAACATTATAAATCTTTTTAATGTCTCTTTGATCAATTTAATGCATGCTTCCAGAATAAAACTATTAGTGTGGTTTATACAAATGTATAAAACTATAACTAAAAATGTTCTAATTTATATAAAATAATATATAACTGAACTGATTCATTAAAATGAATAAGACTTCTCAATGCAATAAGAGAAATAGAGAGGATAGTTTAGGAGAGCATGTTTGATTTCCTCAGATTGCTCGGCTGTACTGTATATATATCTTTGTGTGTAATATAATGTGACAAAACCCAGCAATGTAGCATTTTGTCATGCATTTTGTACGTCCTGTTCCTGCTTGTTAGTGGACAAGCTCTTCTGAAATTAGCTGAACTACTGTCACACCTTCGAATTTAGCTAAGGACATTAATAAGACATCTAGAAGAGCCTACATACTTTTGAAAACTTTAAAAATGCTAAATTAGATTATAGATTCTTTCATTTTAAAATACTTTTATTTGTAAGTTTATGCTTGACACACCATCAGTGAAGTCAGACGGGTAGAGAGGCAGTCGGCGACACAGATCCTCATAGATTCCTCTGCCCACTCTGAAAAAATCTCTACACTACACAGATACAGAGAGAGAGAGAGAGAAAAAGAGTGATGATTACTCTCTCACACACAGAAACAGACACACATAGGCTACATATAACTACATATATAAACGTGAAAACATTTAAATACATTGCAGCAGGAGAGGCACAAGATTAAAGCACGTACACACACCAATTAAACATCATACACATCAAATCCTGCTGAATCACAGCAAATACACACACAGAAGCAAATACACACAATGCTTTACACTGCAAGGGAAGAGATACTGTGTTAAAGCAGACAAACACACACTCTCCTACTTAAATCCTCACAAACAAACACACACAGAAGCTCAGTGTAATCGCACTCACACAGGGCCCCCTGCACAGCAGAGAGAGAGACACAAGATGAGAGAACACAGATTCTGCAGACTAGAGAGAGAGACAGCCCAGTGTTAGAACAGCATTAGTACAACGCAAACGCATTACAATTACATCAGCAAAGCACAGTCAAGAAACCAGTTACATTACTCTAAATATCCATTAATGTAGCATCAGAAATGTAGCATCTGGCACATGTGCATTTCAGAGACCTGAATTAGACTGGCTTGTTTCTGTTCGCAAACGGACAACTTTTGTAACCCAGTTCTTCTAATGAATTGGTCCACAAAAAAAAAAAAAAAATCTGTTTGAATCTTTTTAACAAATTACTTTGAATCTGTCAGAGCAGATACTGAATCAATATCCAACTTGATGTTTTTTTCACTTCACAATAACTTTGTTCACATCACTTAATGCATTAGTTATCATGAACTAAAAAACAACAACATTTTTTACAGCTTAAAATCATAAATATTCAGTCAATACATATAAATGTTAATTTATCCTATTGTTTAAAAGTTTGGGGTCAGTAAGATTTTTTTCCTGTTTTTGAAAGAAGTCTCTTATACAAAGGCTGCATTTATGTGATAAAAAAATTCTATATATTTTAAAAGATTTATATTGTTTTCTATTTTATTGGATTTAAAAAAAGAACAGCATTTATCTAAAAACAGAAATCATTCATAGCATTATACATTTCTTTACTGTCCCTTTTGATCAATTTAATGTGTCCTTGCAGAACTAAATTAATCTTTTTTTTATTTATTTTTTATCATACTGACCCCAAACATTTGAACGGTACTGTATAACTATTGTTTATTATTAATTCATGTTTGTTCAAAATACAATTTATACAACTTAAAATGTATTAATACATTTAAAAATTAAAGTGAATAAAATTTGCCAATAATTTATAGGTTATGATACCTAATTCATAAACAAATATTAACAAATTGAACCTTATAGTATAATAGAAACAGAAAAATTGTAAAATACTATAGAATTTGTTTTGTTTAGACCAATTAAGGCAAGGTAGGAGGCACTGATGTGTATTTGTGTCTTTGTGCCAGGTCACAAATGAACGGTCTTGTTGAATTAATCAAATTTGAATAGGCTTTACGGGTCAGGATTTGGCGATGGAGCAGTTTGTCCGTCTCACATTAATGACCTACATTAGCCTCTTATTGGCAGACAAGCTCATTTTCTGTCAGTCAGAGAGAACCTGTCTCAGGATATCTTTAAATAAGTCACACAGCTTTAAGTGTTCATTACTGAGCCGCACTCATTCATCATGACAGCGTGTGCCTGAAACAGAAAGAGTAAGGGACCTTTCCTGGGCATTTGCCAGAGATGGATAGCTTTTAGTGTGCACACACACAAGTGATCACACACACACACACACACACACACACACACACACACACACACACACACACACACACACACACACACACACACACACACACACACACACACGCACGCACACACACACACACACACACACAAACACACACACACACAGTAATGATCCTCTCCACCTGGTTACCATTCCTCGGATGTGTGATGGAGTGAAAAATGCAAAAAACAAAACAAAAACACAACTATTTGGGTCTCCGCTGTTGTCTTTACAGAGAAGAAAAGAGAGGGCTTTTACAGGCGGCTAACCTCAGCCAGGGTGGTCTAATGCTCACATATGCCGAATCAGACTTTGTGTGTGTGCGTCAAACCAGAGTAACAAACAAGATAAATTCTCATTAGCTGTTACATGCTCAGGAGAACTTAATCACTGGAGTGTAAGTCAAACAGCAAAGGGCAAAGGGTGAAGGGAGAAAGAGAGAGCGATAGACGAAGACCGGAGAGAGAGATTGGAAACAATGGCAACCGTTAAAACTGAAACCGTTACAACTGAACCTTAAGCATCGCCGCACACGCTGCGATGTGCACACACCTTCAGTGGTTTTTGACTGTGCGGGTCTGTCTCTTCGCCCTCCACAGCTGTGGTTTTACGCTTGGCAGCGGTCAGGTGGTACCTCTGGATGACTAGCGCCTCTTTGAACTCCTCTTGAGTTTTACTCTCTAGCAGCTTCTGTCTGAAAGAGATGTCTGAGAACATGCTGGCGAACGTCCTGCCCAGCTCCATCGCCGTCTTAGTGCTTTTCTGAGAAACAGAGATCAAACATGTGTTACATTTGGTGTTCATTAATCATTTATAGTTGTTACACTCTTACACTGTATCTACACCACGAGCGAATAGGACCCGTTATAATCAGTGATGCTGTCTACACTGAATGCGACATTAAACTGATCCCCTGTTCAATTTCTGATGCACTCCAAGCTTTCGTGCTACTTTCGTGCTATATGAATAACAAATGGAGTTGCAACAGTCGTTTTGTCGTGTCCAGTAGGCATAGTTTTAGAAGAAAAGGTTCTCAGTAGAACCTGTCAGGCACTTCATACAGTAGTAGCCAAAAGTGATGTCCGAAGGGGATATTTGTTTCTAATGACCCTACAAATTTGATGAAACCATCAAAATATAGTAAAAAAAATTATATGTACAGTCCATGAATATGCCAAAGATTTGATTTGTATTACTATGTATGTATTTTTTAATAATACAATTATTTTAATAATTTTTTCCTTGAAGGATATTATGTTAATTTGTAAATGATCTTGTCTTAAAGTTTATTTACCAATTCTGTATTTTTATTAATTAATTAATTAAATATTTATTATATTTATTATTATATAACTATTATTGTTATTGTTATAATGACATTTTGTATTTAAAGGGTTATAGTGGGGGGGGGGGGGGGGGGGGGGAAGTTATGACTTTAATTGTATGAAGCTTTATGTTAATGTTTAAAGTTTACAAATAAATATTACAAAAAAATATCAAAATATGAGGAAAATATTTTTAATTTCTTAAATATTTTAAACACGAGGGAAAAACAAAATACTAAACTTGGTTAAGGTATTTATATGACAAAATTATTTGCCAAAAAAGGCAAACTACAGCTACAGGTTTTATTTTACAATGAAAAAAAATTGCACAGAAAAAAAACCTCACAGGAAAAAGCATGCACTGACATTATCAGTTATTAACATTTCATTGTTTCTCTCTTGTTTTTGTTCTTAATTTCTTTGTATGACAGCCTAGCCAAAAATACAAAATCTTAAACAAATGTATAATAATATTTGAATAAAGGGTGAATATTTTTCAATTTTCCAAGGTCAGGCATCATTTTTAGCCACTACTCTATATAGAACCTTTTAGGGATTCCTGTTAAGGCTTATTTTATGGATTTAGTTTTAATTCATTAATTTTATTTTAATTAATTTTCTTAATTGTATTACATTTTATGAATGAAACCGCTCATAAACATATTTTATCACCAGAAAAAAAATTAAACGACCCGTTAAATATAAAAGTATTGAGACATTTCTGCTTATATAGAACCTTTTTGGCATAAAGTCTTCAAAGTAGTAACCCAGAATTTTTTGGAGCAGAAAATAATGCAGTTGCAGTTAAGCTGTTGATTCGCTTAAATGCTGCTAATACATGGTCTAAATTTTAGATTTATTCTCAACTTTATTTCCAGTTAAATGTTTTTACTCTGCTAATACAAGAGAAGAGAGTACATGCACTTTTGACCAGTTCTCTGGATTTATGATTTTTGCTTTATCATATGGATTGAGTCCATTTGGTACTTAAGTTACATAACATTTGTGTTGTCTATTGTTTTAAAACACACGGCAAGAAAAGAGGATGCATCTACATGTGCCAGCATGACAATCCAGCTTTTAATGTAATGAGAAGATGCGTTTTTGTGTGTGTGCGCGCATATAATTGTATTGCTTTTGAGAAAAGCACAGGATTACAAAGCAAAAAAGTTTGCTATACTGCCTGGTGAACAACAGAGAACAGAAATAGATGAGTGCATGCAAGAACACAAGGGGAAAGAGAAAGAGAGAAAGAAAGAGAGAGAGTGATTAGATGTAAACAGATGTAAACACATACACACAAACACACAGATTTATGATGTAAACACAGACACAAAGAGATACACAAAATGGTCTTGGAGGGAGCCAGGGGCCCCAAAGCCTTTAAAGGGAGACTGCAAGGGGAACACAAAATGCAGGACCAGGACTTTAAGACTTGAACGTGATCGTATTATTGTGTCTGAACCTGCCATGAATAAGATCTTGTTAATATCTCAACTGTTTCTCATGAATAGCAAATAGTTTAAACAGAGCAAATTGCTCTTGCTTTTTGATGCCAAGGACCCCAAAAATATGATACCTTTCCTGAAATATGAAGACAAACTATATATTTTTAATGTATAAATACCCATTTAAACTGTGTGTTTTTTTTGTGTGTTTTTTTACAATTAAAATATTATCAGGAAAAATATTTACTTCGGATTAAGTTGACAGTGTATCTTTTTTTTCCAATATATTAAAGACGAAATACAAATACAACATTTGTGAACATAACACATGTACATCATAATGGAGAAATTAACACTTAGAAATGAAGATTGTTTTGACAAAAATATTCTGATTATTATTACTGTTAAAAAATAGGACTGTCAGTAGAATAATCTTATGATTATTCAAAAGAAACTGTGAATAATCTTATGACCTGTTCTTACAAAGCAAAGTGAAATATTGATAATATCAATTTCAGTAAATGTGTTAAAAAAAAACATTTTATTTTAGTGTCCTTGTTACACGTAACATGCACTTACTATAGTACCATGTACCAACAGTAAATTATTAACCCTAACCATAACCCTAATGTAAATACATGTTGTTCATAAATATTACTCAATACTTTCATTTATAATTCCACCGTAACAAGGACACCTTAAAATTAAGTGTAACCAAAAATGATTTAATAAAGATATTAAATTTGTAAAATACATTTAGTAAAAATAAAGTTTGACCCCCAGGGCGCTGCTAGGGTTTCCCTGGGTCCCAGTTTGAAAAACCTCAGATTTGCAAAGACAAGAAGTTTGAAATCAAAGCTATTTCTTTTTTTAAAAAAGAAAAAGAAAAAAAGAATGTCCATAACGTGCAAATAAACTGTTTTCAGTATGTGTGTGTGCATTTATGTGTGATTATATTACCATCTTTGAAGGTGCCAGAATGAGGATAACATAGCGGACCTCTGCACAGTTTTCCCCCCAGTTCTGTGGACGGTCTAGGCGTGAGATACACACGTGCCGCCTCTGCAGGGTCTTCACATTGCAGCTGTCACAAAGAGTTCATAAATCATCATAAATCCTCTTTACAATTTACATAGTGCTTTAATATACCTGGCACAGTATCAGATTAATTCAATATGTAACAGGAGTACAGCAAACAGATTAACAAATCCATTGGTTGAGGTCTAATGGGATTACAGAAAGCTCTTGAACAGGGGTGTCAAAGTAATGTTTGGTTCTGGGGCGGTTGGGAAAAAGGCCCTTCCTGTTCTCTTTCAGGCTTATAAAGTTAAAAAGTGTACACCTTTTGTTTTAGGCTTGCTGCCACCTATTATGAGGTTAATATCAACACAATCAACTATATTAAAAGGGAAAAGATAAAACCACTCAATGCTTTAATAAATCAAGTCAAATATTACCATAAAAGCTGGCCTAAGGAACAAAATGTAACAATACACTGTTCCACGTCTAATTTACTTAAAATACACATTAATAACTGGCCCTATATGTCTCATTGGTCCAGCTAATACTCATAACACCTGCTTGTGGCCATAAAACTCAAAAGAGAAGTCAGAAAAGAAAAATGTGATAGTCTCAACTCTCAACTAAAACATGCGAAAGCTGTTGTGCCATTCTGTAAGGACTTTGGTAACCTTGAGGCCATAGAGCTGCTGTGGGTCATCCAACATTGCCACTTGTTTCCCTTTCTTGCCCATAAAATTGTCTGCACATAATTCAAAGAAAAACAAATCTTCTGTTCACTAGGCTAGTGTGGGTTATTGCAAATGGATGAACTTGACTTTTTATTGTATTTACCTTACTGTGAGTCTTTGTTCTGACCCTAGAGAGTCTTCGATGACTTTTGATTTACAATCTCTGGATTTATGATCTCATGTGAATTAATAAAGCTAATTAGAGTGTTAAAAGTAAACAGATTTAGCTTGCTGTCAATAATTGAAGTGCTTAAGGATGAGACTTGACTTGACCCCTCCCCCGGACAGCTCATCATAATCAATAATTAATTACAATACAAATCTATGTATCCATCCATCCATCTATCCTAAACTGACAAATGAGTAAATAAGTAAATAGTCATCTAGGAATTGACAATATTAGCCACTCTCCAATATCAGATTATAGAGTAGAACAAAATAGTAGGCTTCAATGCAAAAACCAGTACAAGTAGAGAAAGAAAAATATGTCTACAATGTACAAAGTGCTTTTTACGGGTCATCTGATTATGTTCTTTAAAATGCACAAAGTGCACTTCACTACACCATGTTTTTGGATATGAGCCCGGTTAAAATGCTGTTCTCCTTAATTTTGTCATAATTGAATGAATCACTGCTGCCATTATTACAAAAAAATCTGCATAAGTATCTGTTTTATATAAAATTAAGTTTGCCACTTGCTTTAAGTAGGTTGTAAAAGTAGTAGAATTCAATAAAATACCTTATTTGCATATAAAGAAAAGAAAATGACTTACTTTAAATGTGGCACAGCACTATCTATACTAGCAAATAAAGCAGCTGGTTAAGTTTGACAGGGAGTGGTTAGAGAAAATAACACTTGTTAGTTTGCACACTGATGTTGGCTGCTGCCTGACACTGCTACAGTATGGAGGCTGTTGATAAAAGTTCTGGCAGCTATTAAGCAAAAGCGTTGAGAAAGAAAAGGTGTTGGGGGATCTTGAGACCTCTGAAACAAAGCAGATCAATCATCAGAACCTAATCATGACCTGCAGATGTCTGTTAGATAGGGTTTGTTGGGGATAATTTTATTTTGATAAATGACTCAATAGCAGGTAGCAGATTTTGATAGATGGGAATCCTAAAGTCATCATCTTGTCAAATTACAAGAGTTGCTTCAGAACAAGAGTTGGCCAACTAGAATTGTTATAAATAATTATTTAAAAGAATTTCATAAACACCCATGCGAGAATTGCTGCAACAAAGAAACATGTAAATGTCTGGAATGCTATGAGACAGAAGAGACAGGATTTCACGTCATCCAAATCCGAAAAAAGATCATGTCAAGAACTTTGTGTGTGTGTGTGTGTGTCTGTGTTACAACCAAGAAAGTTTTAAACTATTTCAGCGATACTAGCAGGGGCGGCGCCAGGGGGGGTCTTGGGGGGTCTCAAGACCCTCCCAAAAAATGCTTTGACCCCCCATTTGACCCCCCACCCCCTTCCTGATTAAAAAATATATATATCCGGGATAAATATTTAAAAATGTTTATCTTCAAACTACGCAGAACATACAATAATAATTAATAATTTATTCGACATACAAAATATATAAACATAAGAATCACGTTCCCTCTAAGCTGCGCGCTGTGCGCGGTCGTGCACTTCTGATGCCGCGGCCGCGCAGAAAAGAATAATATGCCACGCAGAGGACTGACGCGAAATGTGTGGGGAAATCCATTTGATTCTATGTGAGAAATAATTGCAGTGCTCAAACTGGTGAGTGCAGTTAACAGGTTTCAAAGAAAGAGAATGATGTGAGCGCGTGTGATTGGCAGTGAGTCGTGTGTGCGGACCAAATAGCCTATCTCAATACGAGAGGCGACGAGAAACGCAAAGACATGTGAAATAAAATCACAATATCATGTTTTAAAGAAGAGTGGTTTGATTAAAGTGGTGGAAATAACGGATGATGGACACAGAACGGTAATTACACACCCACCCGCGTGCAAACTCAAAATACATCATTAGTTTACATAGATTTAAATAGTTTCAGGCATGGTTAGATTAGGCTACTATAGAAGAGTTCACATATTCACTTTTCTTGAAAATATTTAGCTATTAGATCTAGCTATTTACAGTAAATGCTTCAGTTTGTTTTCATATTATAATAATATAATATGAAAACAAATTGAAGCATTTAAACTGATATATTATATCACTTCAAATACTTCAATTCATTTTTTATATTATATTATTTTATATTAGGCATATATTTTATTATATTATAAGCCTAAATAAAGAATCTCACAAGGGTATTGTTTAGGGCTCATTGCCATTAAAAAGTTTGAAACCCCCTGCTAAAGAAAATATAGGCTAGGAAATTCATAAGCTATAAACAATCATTTAACTTTGATGGTTTAATGCTGCCTGTACAATTAATTGACTGTACAAAAACACTTTATGGTTTTCCTAAACCATCTCAGTGTAACAGCTTAATTTTCTTTCATAATTGATTATATTATTGTAAATATTTGAACTGTCCTGCAGAAGACTTTGTAAATAATTGTTCATAGGATTTCTTAGTAAAGACTGGAAACAGAGGACACCGAGGAATTGGAGGATGAGGAGGATACTATTTTGTAAATATGTTTTCTGTCATGGGTGTGGCTATGGCAATTAAAGTTCGAGCATATTGTTTGCAAACTGCAATTGATTAATTAATTAAAAACAAAGTAGTTGATATGCTGTGTTGTTTTTGTTGTTAAGTAGCTGCAATATGCAGTTATTAGCCGTGTCCACTGTATTTTTTGTTGGTTTTCATAAGACCCCCCTTGAAATGACCAGGACCCCCCATTGCCCCCCCAATCAAAATTGTTTGGAGCCGCCACTGGATACTAGTAGGGTGGCTCTCAAAGTCTTTTAACTTTAGCACAAATAGCACGTTACCTCTATAGTATTTACACTGTGTGTGAATAGCATCTATCAATAATTTCACTTTAATAAACAATATTCTATTTGTTGTTATTTATACTTGATGCAAAGAGGATCTACCACTATTACACTCTTTAAAAAGTTATTCTGGTAGATATATTATTTATTTATTTTCTTAAATAAATGTTGCATCCTTGCTGAATAAAATAATTGATTTCTTTAAAAAAAAAATCTTACTAACCTCAATCTTTCGAACAGTAGTGTTTATACTTTAATTAATAACACAATGTTAAATTGGCAGCCCTAGGAAAAATAATTGTTCCTATCTTGTGGCATTTCTTCAGACACCCCAGCTCTAGAAACTCTCCAGGCTCAGAGTTACAGGTAAAACAGATCCAGGTAACTCACAGGATGCAAAGCCAGGACTGCTGGTACTGGATCCCTGTGGCTGTGGCCGTCACACACTGCAGCGTCTCTGACAATAGATGCACTGTGAGGAGAGAAGGCAAGGGGTCAGTCATGACTGGGTGTGCACTATGGTCAAGAAAACTAGAAGAAAACATGAAGAAACATGAAGAAGAAAACTAAACAATAATTTCAAGTTAACTACAATCTGGATGCCACTTCAAAAGTACTGCACATCAAGTGTGAATGGAACACGAAGAACAGTAGTGAGACTGCTCACAAGTTCGACACCAAGATTAAGTCAACTGACTTTCACTGTATATGGGGACACACAAAAACACAAAAAAACAAACAAACAAGAGGATGTGAATTGATGGAGGGACTGGTAATAATCATCTCCATGAAAAGGCTAATGCATATCAAGGTAGAACATAAGCAGAAGCTCACCAGAGGACAATACACATCACTGCAGCCAACGTGAGTGACAATGAAGACCTTTCCAAGAACAGCACCAAATGTTTCATTCAAATTAATCAATCTGTGTGTCTATGTATGCGCCCTCTCTCTCGTATGTGTGAGCTGTCCAGCATATTAACAACAAGCAGTGTAAAAGGATGTATGTGTGTTTGTGTGTATATGCCCTCTATCCAGCAAAGGTGACAGATGTGAGTTGTTCGGCATGACTAGCAAAAACAATATGTGTATGTGAGTGTATGTGTCTATGTATGTATGTTTGTATGTATGTGTGTGTGTGTGTGTGTGTGCGTGTGGGTGTGAGAGAGAGTGTGCTGTTTAGCAGGCAGGATGGATGTCTCTGGCACACAGTCACACTGTCTCATCAATAAGACATCACACACTCACACCGTGGACAGATGGGTATCACCATGACAACACACTCAGCACCATCGAGAAATAGACAGGAAGAGAGAAAGAATGAGAAGGAGAGGAAAAGATATGGAAACGTATCAATGGAGCAATACAGGGCAATATGAAGACTGTTGAATTGGCATGGGGACAAACAGCTCAGATAATTGTGTACTTGGTGTGTTCGTGAAGAAAAAACAAACAAACAAAAAAAGTACAATGATGCATGTTGTGCACGGCCATAAAGGCATACACTTATGACATATTAAACATTTACAATATTTCATACTATTTTGTTATTTATACAAAAACAGAACATTTTTGTGATGTTTCAAAAAAAATGTTTGCCATTACATTTCTAAGACAGCACTTGCTCGTTGTGTCACAACTTGAGATGAGAGTTGGTATGAGAGTGATAAGATATTTTAATACTGTCTCTGATGCAGAATCAGTTCAAATGGAAAGTTTAAAGTAAACTCAACAATCAGGGTAATTATAGGTAACTAAAACTAAACCCATAAAAACAAATTCCCTTGTTTATGAAAGAAAAATAAATATTTACTGAAAGAAAAAAAACTTTTTAATTTCAGGTAGTTGCAAAAGCAACATTTATCATTTTCATTTAGTTTAGCTTGATGTACAACTTGTCTTAAACACTGACACTAAAACTGAAATACAAATGTATAAAAAAATCATTTAAAAAAATACACTAATAAAAATGACAAAAACACAACAAAATTACTAAAACTTGACATTTATATTTAAAAACAGAAAATACACAAATCAAAACTAATTAAAAATAGTAAAACAAACTATAATAGTATCTCAATGATACTAAAATAAGAGTCAACAATTTTTCACAAAAGTATTAACAGACTTCCTTGTGTGGCATTTTACTCGCTTTAAAATGCTTTAGAAGCTATTATATTATAATCTTTATCTCTATCTATGATGACATTTAGTATTATTATATTTATGATGTTATGGTTATATATAAACTGTCATGGTGCATTATCATTACTTTGGTCAATTTGGTGAGCTACACTATGGAAAATAAGTTGTGGTTATTTAATTATTTATTGCTGTATTTTTAGCCTTTCAGAACAAATATAGTACTGAGATGTATACTGAATATTAACTGATTTAACAAATAAACTGTTTAGCTATATCGTCCTCTCCTGAAATACATGCATTAACATTCAAGCAATCATCTAGGAGGCCAACCCTACCTCACCCCTTCTGATAACTGCCTGAGGCCTGGACATCAGGATGAAATGAGATGCTTTTATTCACACACTCTAAAGACTTTTCCTCAAGAAATTAAAAAGTATTTTCACTCCTTGTGTGTGTGTGCTGCATAAATATTATGCAGAAAAAGACATCAGAATGACAGTGGACTTTTCAATCACAACAGTGGAATCCATGCACAGCCAATCAGCCGAACGGCAATGAGGCAGGAATGAGAGAGAGAGACGGTGATACAGCCCAATCTAACACACCACCACGGGGAAGGGAATCACTCTGTATTCAGCATCAGCTCTTTTTAAAAAAACACCAAATCTTGTCATTTCAAATGTGTGGATACTGATTTCGAATTGGATTGTGTCACTGCATCAACTGGAAAATGCAGTAAATTGATGGATCTGAATAAGAAAACAGAGACTCGCATGTCTGTTGGACTAATGGTACATGTCAGTCACATCCAGTGGAAACACCAGCAGTCAGGGAAAAACACACATGAATTGTGTATAATATCCCACATCTGATCATATCATTCTTACCGTCGTCAAAGAAAATGAAATTCTGCGACCTGTCTGTGCGAGAGAATCAGAGACAAAACAGACCCACACACGCACACACAAACACACACAGAAACGGAGTTCAGCTTGGAAAGGAAAGAGTTAAAGTTAGGCTGAGCACAGAAACACATGTTACGAACCCTAAAAGCAAGCAGAAAGAGTGAAATGTCTCTCAGACACAAATTCAGATTACCCACCACCCACACAGACACACCAAACCTCCCTCTCTCACTAATTGGGGCTGGGTTGTCAGGCAGATGCTCAGGTCTCTTTACTCAGATGAAATATGATTTTTCTCCATCTTTCATTGTGCTTGCATCTTAGCTGAATGAGATCTCCCATTTCATTCTAATTTGATCTTCAGACTGATAGACTTTAGGTTGCATGTGCGTGTGTTTGTGTTAAATGCCTGACGCGTCCACATACAATCAATGCACTCACAATTAGATCCCATTCATGGATTCTCATCCAAATGATCATACATTATCATATTCATGACATTCACATTTCATAATCCAATCACACATCAGTTCATTTGCATGTTCCCAGGCTCATATCATTAATATGATTCTCGCTCACATGTGAGCTATGTATCCTAGCAACAGAGGGACAAGAGAGAATGTATCATCCTTAGACTTAAAAAAAAAAAAGAAGACAAAAAATCAACTAACCATAATTTACATCTCACCATTCATACAATCCGGCAGTGTCCGTGCACAAATTAGGTGCGATGTTAGTCCGGATCAGAGTGGCGGTACAGTAAAGTCCAGGGCTAGGCTTAATTGGTACCCATGATAACGAGTTATATTCTGTGTGTATTCAGTGTGAATTTGGCAATGATGATAAGAACACAGAGATTACTTGTGAGCCCCAAATGATCAATACAATCCAAAAAAAGCATGCTGCCAACTTGTGAAAATCTCAGAGGGAAATGACACATTCATGCAGTCCGTTAGATTTACATTCTGCTGTGTGATTGATTATATACATTGTGTTGTCAAGACTATTTCATTTATTAGAGTGAATTTTATTTTAAGAAATCCTTCAGAAAAACTCAGACAAGTATCAGATGAATCTGTGAGCAACAAGTACACATCTAATCATCAGGATAGAAAATAACTGATTGTCTAGTGGTGAGAATTATCAGGGGTTATAAACAAAGACATTCAATTATATCATAAGGCAACCTGTGTTCTAAGCGAAAGGTTTCATTTACCCTCATCTCTCATAATAGATGACAAAGAAAATTTACTCGCTCTAAATATAGGGGTTTTAAACGTGTATATCAAGAGATGAGATTTCAACTTGCCAAAAACACTCTCATTGTATAGTCACCGGCATGGTTTAAAATACACTATATAGACAAAATTGGGATACCTAAACATGGGACTGTACACCAACAGGGACTGTAATGGCATTGTATTCTAAATACATTTGCTGTTATAACAGCCTCCACTCTTCTGTGAAGGCTTTCCACAAGATTTTGGAGTGTTTCTGTGGGAATTTTTGCCCATTCATCCAGTTAATCAGGCACTGATGTTGGACAAGAAGGCCTGGCTCGCAATCTCCATTCCAGTTCATTCCCAATGTGTTTGATGGGGTTGAGGTCAGGGCTATGGGCCCACAGTCAAGTTCTTCAACACCAAACTCATCCAACCATGTCTTTATGGACCTTGCTTTGTGCACTGAGGCACAGTCATGCTGGAATAGAAAAAGGTATTCCCCAAACTCTTCAAATACTTTAGAAAAAGACAGTGCACTCATATTATTTATGAATCGGAGAAAGTGCAAAGCGCAATATGGCAGAATAAGTGAGATAAATGAGCCAATTGTTAAAGTTATCGCATCCCCACAGCTGCCGTTAGAAGCTCCAGTTGCTCTAGAAACAGTTAAAGTTCTGAGACAAGCGGACTGTACATGCGTTTTGGCTCGTCCAACCTATAAGATAAGCTTTTGAACGCTATTTGAACATAAGAAACAACATTTATGGGACAGTTCAGCAACAGATTTTGTTGCTGATTTGAAATATGTTATTTAAATGTGACTTTGGCAAGCAGTTTTTGAGATTTCAGGATTCCTTATTCAAGTAGATAGGACTTGGTCTTGAATGACTGAAATATCTGCCCAGTGGCATTGCAAATATGGCCGCCAAGTGAATAGATTTTCCTTGAGAGGGACTTTGGTTGGAAGCATATCTTTGTCCAAAATGTCTTGGTATGCTGATGCATTAAGATTTCCCTTCACACGAAGTAAAGGGCCTAGCTCAATTCTGAAAAAGCCCCATACCATTATCCCTCCTCCACTAAACTTTTCAGTTGGCACAATGCAGTCAGGCAGTTAACGTTCTCCTGGCATCTGCCAAACCCAGACTCACCCATCAGACTGCCAAAGAGAGAAGCTTGATTTGTCACATTTCCACTTCTCCAGAGTCCAGTGGTGGTGTGCTTTACACCACTTCACCCGACGCTTGGCACTGCACTTGGTGATGTGAGGCTTGCATGCAGCTGCTTGGCCATGGAAACCTATTCCATGAAGCTCCCGTCGCACAGTTTTCTGGCTGATATTAATGCCAGTGAAAGTCTGGAACTTTTCAGCTATGAAATCAGCAGAGCATTGGTGACTTTTACTGTCCTCGCCGCTGTGGGAAATCTGTGGTGCCATCGTGCTGAGCAGACTCAATCACAACTTGGGCTTGAGTGATTTGCCAGGGGGATGGACTAGCTTGTTGCCGGCCGCCTGGGTTGTGGAGGGGCGGCTGCCATCTGAGATGGAGCGGAGGAGTCGCTGTCGTTTGGCTGAGGCCAGAGCCTGCTGCCGTCCGCCATTATGGGGGAGGAGTAAGGAACAAGGGACTCGTCGCCGGCTGCCCGAACACGGAGGAGCCGTTGCCGTCCACCAGGCATCGGAGGAATTAGAGCTCCGTCCAGCGAGGGATATCTAGTGCCACTGCCAGGCATCGCGAAGGAGTTCACACAGCTGGTGGAGGACCGATGGCAGTGTGTTATGGAAACCTGACCAAGATTTTTTTTCCTCTCTCCCCTTTCTCATCTCTGTCTCTCCTTATCCTTCCGTGTCTTTTTCTCTTTCCTCATCTGCCCTTAAACCCCCCCTCCTCCCCCCAGAGGGCAGAGCACAGTCTCATTAGCACTCTTATCACCGGCCTCGCTCTGTTCCACGGCTATTGGCCCCGTCCTGCTTGCCACATATATCTTCTATGGAAGTCTCAGGACGAAAAAAATGTTCTTCCAAATGCAATGATACGATGTTCTACCTGCCTGTCAACATATGTATTTCCATACCTCGGTGCACCCTGCTTGCGCAGACATCACGTCATCAGCGCGTTCTGTAAGGCTATGCAGAGTTGTAGACAGTCACCGAGCTCTGCATACAAACAGCAGTGGGAACCACTGAACCAAAACAACGAGCTTATGCTGTGTTCATGACATGTTGTAACCGTAATAATGAGATGGCAACCCGTGATGTTCTCGGATTTATGCGTTTCTATGTCAACACTATCAACAACAAAATAAATCTGCAGCAGTCAGGTGGTACAAGTAAGAGCTCTGTAAGTAGTTTACGTTCATTATTATTGTAATGTTATGTGCTTTGAGACATGAGGTAATTTAACACATCTTGTGACGCTTTGCAGACTCTGTTGTGTGTGTTCATGTGTTTTGAAGGAGGCACTCTGAAGATCTAATGCTTTCAATTTTAGATCTAATTAGATATAATGCTAATTTGCTATTGCTAGCCCCTCCGAAATTACCTACCCTACCTTTAACTATTAACTATTGAATTATACATTAATTTGTACTTATTTATATTTCATAGATATTGTATTTTTCTTCCAGCCGCTCCTGCCTCAAAGCTCTTTCAACCCTCAGCTTAAGTTTTGTGATTCGTCTCTATTTTATTCAACTCCATCTGGGAAGGCTTGACCATTCCAGTGAGTCTAATGTGTGAATGACTGGACAGAAGAGTGTTATTATCACCTGACTTCCCTTTATGGGGTCATTCGAGCAAGTCATCTCTCTGACACATCCTAGAGTGAGTTTAAAAGCTATTGGGTCAGCAGGGATGGAAATGGACTTAATTATTGCTGAAACTTCTTTTTTTTCTTCTGTCTCTGCACAGTTCCCTCTGTTACTCATTCTTCAGACCCTTTTTATGTAAAATCTGTATTATGATTTATAAAGCAATTTAAATTAAAATAACATTGACTAACGTCAAACTGTTGTGCTTATATCCTTTGAGGTGTCAGTCAAATCAACTCTCTGAGGCACTGAGCAACCTTTCATAAGCTTTTCATGAAATACCACACAAATAGAAACAAACACACTCACCATTGACTTCCTGTGACCCAGCGTCTGTGAAGAGTGAGCTCATGATCTCCTCGAAGTTGCAGCCAGGCTCAGCGGTGTGAGGGTCCTGTGAGACGTGGCGGAGCATTGTCTTTAACACATCATCTAGAGAGGCCTCGTCCTCGTGCAGCAGAATACTGGCCCTCTCCAGAAACCCATCCAGATCCCTGTGAGCTCGCACTTCCTCCTCGAAGTTCATCAGCTTCACATACTGAGAGAACACATAGAGGAACATGCAAGCAATGCTAAAAATGTCTACAAAAAAAGAACACTTACAAATTTCTAGGGGTGACCCCGAATAGTCGAAGATTCGATGCTTCGATAGGAGGAGCCTGATTCGACTACCAATCTCACGGTCGAATCTTCGCAGAATGTGTTATTAAACGAGGATTATGTCATTTTGGCTATATATGAGTGTGCTCAATGTCTGATTTCACATAGAACTACTGGTTTTCTGTCAATGCGTTAATATACAGCCTATAATGATAATGCTGTCAATAAAAATGTGCAAAGAAAGAAGCTTTTAATAAATATTTTTTAACGTGCGTGCAGCGTGAATAAATCCAAACACCCCGTGACAGATATAAGTTTCACTTTCGATCCGTGACCGACAGAGGAGCGTCTTGTCGGCAGGGATTTAAATCTTTAAAAATGTCTGGGATAAGAAAATCTAAAGATGCACACCATCAGAAAGGATATTCTCCAAGGCTGGATTTAGCATCAGGAAAACCATGATCGCACTTCTGCCGACCAACGTTAACAGGTTGGTTTTCCTCGGGACGTTCTAAAACGCTTAACGTGAAAAAAGCTTTTAAAACGCTTAAATGGCACTTCTATGTGCTTAATGTACACAGTAGGCTACACACCTTAAGAAACCATTCTATGTGCAGATAAGCAGATGAACCCAGAATATGAACGCAACGCGTTTCTCCTATAAAAAGTCACGTGAAGCTTTTTCTTTAACGGTTTTCTATGGGAGGAAAATGCTTATCGTAGCCTATAATAAAACGCGTTGCGTTCATATTCTGGGCTCATCTGCTTTTCTGTAGGCTATATATGCTTTATTAATAAGGTGTGTACAGAATTTTATCTTTTAATATAACAGTTTTAGGACAAAGCCGTTAAGCGTTTTTCACGTTAAGCGCTTTAGAATATTTTATCCGCGCACACAATTTGAAAAGACTCAAACGGTATATGGGTACAAGTGCAAAACATTTCAGCCAGTTCTAATTTGATTTTTGGATAGGCCTACTGTGAACAGGTTTAGCTAAAAAGACTGCCGCTCCAGTTTAGCGTTTATTGTTGTTTCTGCAGTTAAAAAGACAAAGTTGACAATCCTGGCCATACTTTCGTTATTTTAATAATTTCTTTATTTTTATTTTATTAATTGATCACTCAGGGTGATCTAATTTAACTATTTGTGACTTGTGTTTTGAATATTTGTTCCCCTGCACTTTAGGCATTTTGCACACATTTGTTCTGCTTCTTGTGACTTGATTCTGACTTATTTCGTTTTGTATTTTTATTTATTATAAATGTATATTGTGTTCTTAATTTTTGATTATTTTTCAGTGCATCGATGTTACGCTGTAGGCTTACTTAGAGCATGCTACAGGCAATTCAGCCGATTTAATTTGATTTGCATGTGAAATGCAAATCCTATCTGCAGTGTGGCCTTTCTGCAGTTATTTATGTTATTTCTTAGTTTTATTGATCCAAAATGTTTTAATACATTTTCTTCTATATCTTTGTGTGATGTTCTGTAGATCGCGGCTTTAAAATGTTAAAGCCCCGCCCCCTCCCCAACACCACACACATGATTCGACTATTAGTCGACTATAGGCAGGACTTGACGAATCTGATTCGACTATGAAAATCCTTAGTCGGGGACACCCCTACAAATTTCTTATATTCACATATTAAACAGGGTTCTGAAATTTTTTAAACATTGACTTTTAATCATTTCATAATGCTGGATACCATATTTTATATATATATTATATGTATATACAATAATCATAAGATTATAAGAAAAAATATCACTTTGACTGCATCACTAAAAAATAAATGAATCAAAAGAACGATTCACTCACACATTGGACATCACTATGGCTTGTGACTAAGTATTACTCTACACAAAAGTAATTTCTAGCAGCTGTTCTATTTTACAGCTCAACATAATTTGAAACAGTTTATTCATTATAGAAATTTCCATGTTCCTAGAAAAAAGCTAATTAAAAATGTCCTTATAGGTTAAGATCTTAGAAACACTGATTAAAACAATAAGCCATGGCAAACTGCATTGTATTTTATATGTATGAATGGGATATTGTACATATAATGGGGTTCAAAAAGTCTGAGAAATACTTATATTTTGGATTCTTGTCTAATTTATATTATTAATTACAAATTAAATTGTCAGCATAACAGTTTGTGTAAATAGTTAAAAAAGAGTAAACTAATATGAATTTTAGAATGCCGTAGTATTAAGTAAAACCTAATGATCGTGTTATCCAGAATTATCTTTTTTTTTTGTTTCAAATTAATTTCATAAGCTCTGTTAAAAAAATACTAAAACGTTCTTATTCGAATGCTTAAATGAACACACACAAAAAAAAGAAGATTTTAAAAGTGGTCTCAGACTCCTGGGCCCCACTGTAAGTAGACATCAAAATAGAATTCAATTAATGTGCAGTCACAGGTGTGCATGTCACTTCAGACAGGGACTATGCATTTAATAAAATATGTTTGGCATGTGGATGTAATGAGAAGTGTTGGGGGTAACGCATTACAAGTAATGGGAGTTATGTAATCAGGTTACTTTTTTCAAGCAATTAGTAAAGTAACATATTACTTTTAATTTTACAACAAAATATCTGGTGCTTTTTTTCAAATAAGTAATGAAAGATACTTTGTTTTCCCATTTATTGACTTAATAAATAAGTTTACTCATGCATTTGCTCATTTCAGTTGCACAAATCAAATTCATTATTTCTTAAAATTAATAAAAACAGTGAATGCAAACTCAGAAAATTATGCAAACCTACAATAATTTAATATGTTAAATTACACAAATATACTTTAATGTATTTAATCTCAATTTATTAAGCAATGTCTTTGCTGCTGACCATACTGATAAGCAAAAATGACTTTTGTGTTTAATTTTTTATTGGTGAAATAAGAGTTGAACCTTCTTTTCCTATGTTTCTGCAATCCAGAATGGCAGCACAGCTGAAATGTTTGTTTGAGCTGCACCCTCAACTGTACAGGCGTGAATTTGCATTTCCTTTAGCCTGAGGCTTATTCATTTCACTTCTGGTGTGAAACACCCTTTATATTTACCATAAATAAAACTTTTTTGTAATTAAAAACCAAACAATCAAGCCCAGCCCAGATAAGATAAACTAATGCAAAAGTAACATAACACATTACTTTCCATAAAAAGTAACTAAGTAATGCAGTTAGTTACTTTTTTAGGGAGTAACACAATATTGTAATGCATTACTTTTAAAAGAAACTTTCCCCAACAGTGGTAATGAAAAAGTCTCACCCTTCGAGAAGTGTTAAGCAGCACACAGCCATGGACATCAGATTCTGTAGGAAAGAGAGAATGGGAAAGCCTAAGGGGAGAATGCTGTGTGCCAAAACAACAACCATCATAAAGCAGCTTTTAAGAACAACTGGTTTCAGAGAAAACACTCTAATAGCATAAAAGTGTTTTTAAAAAAACAGCAACAGTGAACATAAAATCCATCTGCATCAGAGAGCCCCTATTGTGATCTCCTCAATATAACCCAACATCACAAATATTGGCTATGAAATGAGTTCAGTTCCTGAATACAAAACAAAATATCACTCCCACAACACTTTTTATTAGTAACCACCAAATACATCACAGCATACTCCATGGATCACGAGTATCATCCAAACTTTGAAGGGGCAGGATAAACTCGTGTACACGCATGTGTTCCCGTGTCCCTGCCTGTCCTTTATTTGCTTAACTCATGTTTCGTATTGTCCTCAGGTTTGCAGGTTCAGCTTGCAACCCTCACATGATGGCTGCATGCTAAGTCTTCCTCCATATAGAGATTATATAAAGCAGACAGCCTTTATCAAATAGAAATCCCCCAGTTATGTGCGTGTGGACTGCAAGAAGTCCTGCCTCTGGAAAGAGATATTCAGGGCAGGCAGGATTACCACGACCCACGGCTGACTCCTCCACTGCCTTAGCTCCAAGATTAAAAAGCCCCTCGGATGGGTTTGGGATTAAAAGGGGAAATTTGAGAATAAAAGCACCACTTTAAAAGGACAACTTTGGGTTTTAATAAGAGGTAAGTCTATGTGTTAAACTAATAAGGTTATATAACCTCTCTGAAAACCTTTTAATGGCTTACAGTCACTATGTGAAACAGGTTCTTTTATTCTCTCCTCTTCAATCCTTCTGTCCTTCTATCACTTTTCCAGTTGTCAGATGTGTATGTTCTGTTTGTTCAGATGTTTACGAGTACGCAATATACTGTACATTTAACAATTATGTGAGGTGTAGCGAATGGCCTTAATCAAATGCCCTAGTCCCCAGAAAACATTCCCTCTCCCCTGCTGTCAGCGGCCCTAAAACCAGTTCACTTCAAAGGCCGTTATCACCTCTGCTCCCCTGAACGATCTCGGCAAGAGATGTGTGTCTGCAACCCTCAAAGACAGCACAGGAGACCAGACGGCACTAGCCTTTTGGTCAGGCTATAGAGATAAACTTCCAATACACAAGGACACTTACTCAATTCATACACACAAACTTTTCCCAAATGTTTATAGTATTTCTCCTGGGTTATATGCATGCTCCTATGTTTTATTAGTTATGACTAGTTATGATTCTTTAGTTATGTTAGAGTAACTTCCAATGTTCATATCCAAAGATGATGTACTGTATGTATCACTGCTTTAATGTCTTCGAATCCCCTCTTTCTTGGTATCAAAAGAATCCTCTTTTGATTTTATAATCAATATTGTACAATATGTTATGATAAATTGCATCAGGATATTTGTTACCATACTTTTGTGTAAAGACTGCACAAATTCTCCATGCCACCACGAACTTGCAAATGGAGATAAGATGAACAAAGACTTTCTCCAGATTGGTCACCTCACCAGATGGGTGTGAACGGATAGGATCCTTAAAAGTATCTGATTAGGTCAGATCTTTGCTCAACCTCTTTGAGACACCATCCTCCTTCTTCCGGCAACTTCATCTTCAAGTTAACTCCTTTGGATTCAACGTGGACCACCCCAAGAACCCAAACGAACGCTTCAGCGCACTCCTGAATCATCAAGAATCTCAAGAATATCCTGCATCTGGACTTGTTCAGCAACCAAAGTCAATGCAAGTACCCGTGTGCAGCCTTGCGTTTCTAAGTTATTGTGCCCCTTTAAGGTGACCCTGATTCTCTGATGTTTCTCGTAGGTTGTGGTTAACTGATTGTAATCTTGCCTTTTTTTTTTCTTGCTCTTTTCTTCTCTCTCTCTTTCTTCACTTTTCTTTGCTTTCTTGATTCTGTATACAATCTTTGCTTAGTTTAGTTGTGTGTAGCCTACAGTAGTTTCGTTTATTAAACCATTATATTCACACGTTATTGTCTCTGTGTTTGCAACTCACAAAAATATCAAAGTCACTTAAACATATTGATCTAGCTACCTATGCTATTACCCTGCTAGTACTTGATTTACTTTAGCTGGAAAAGGTTATTCTTTCTTGGCCAGGAAGATACTATATTTCCTAGAATTAATCATTGATTATGCTTTCTGTTCATTGGATGAACTGATTAAATAATTGTACTATTAATTCTGCTACAGTCAATTCTAAAACATTTAAATATTTATAATTAATTATAATTCGTTAAAATTAATTATATATATAAACATATATTTTAAACTGTAATTCGGTACAGAGGTCATCTCATGTTGAACTGAAACGCACCGCAATATCTGAGCACCCAATTAAAGCTCAGTGAGTTGCTGGGTATAAAACTCAAAACCACTGTATTAACATGAGATAAAAGGCAGTATTAATTGAGCTCAGACTACAAACCCTAATCCAAAGAGAATTCAGCAATTTAGACAGTTCTCAAAACCACATCCAATCAAAATAGCATCAATGATTTGCCGGAGGCTGTTAATAGTCGGACATATGCTCACCCCCGTGGTCTTCTGAAATGAGGAGGCAAAGCCCCTCTCTGTGTTTACTTTAGTCTGATATAAATTCATGTTTCATTGGTTAGGACACGGTGTTATGCTCACCAAGGCTGCATTTATTTGATCAAAATAAAACAGTCATATTTAAAATATTATTATAATTTAAATTTAAAATAACTTTTCTATTTATGTATAATTTAAAATGTTATTTATTCCTGTGATGACAAAGCTGAATTTTCAGCATCATTACTCCAGTCTTCAGTGTCATATGATCAGTGTTGGGTATAGTTACTTTGGAAAGTAGTTCATTAGGTTACAACTTTACCATCAATTAAAAGTAATCAGTTACGTTACAGCGTTATCTATTCACAAAAGTAACGCGTTAGAGTACTCATGCGTTACCAAAAATTAAAAGCCGTTTGCAGCGCCTCACACATGCTGCAGCTTAATTGACAGACACGGCCCTCTTTAAATGCACCTAGAAGTCGTGACTCCTGGCAATGAATAACGTCAGTCATCCGACTAAATTAACACTGCGGGATATCAATAACAGGAAATTCCACAATACCAGAGTGCTAGATTGGTGTTTGGATGTTTTTTTAAATTTGAGGTAGAATTTTTGGCGGTCGACAGAAGCTTTTCACCAACGCAGAGTGTGCATTTTACCGTTCTTTTCCTTTTCGTTGACAAATTGAAAATAATGTGCATAGGCCATACTGCAAACGCTGTCCTCTCTGCCATCTTGCCGGGAGTTCGAAAAACACACACACACACACACACACACAGGGGGGATCAGGGCACAGACGTATCACAGCCATTGACTTTATGATTACAGCGCTCCTGCTCCGCTGATACACCCGCAGGTGGCACAGTAGACCTAGGCATGCATGGCATAGCAGGCACGGCGCCAGGATTCCAGGTTTGGATGAGCCAGACCAATTGTGGGTGGGCCTTAAATTAAAAACGTTATCCAATCACTGTTTAACCTAATAAAAATTACTGACTAATATATCTGTACGTAGGCTAGATTTTAATAGCTTGATGCTCTTTAAATATTTTGTTGCATTGTTACAAAGTTTCGGTGCATATGGAGTCAGGACGGACCTATCTGCGATCGCTCTCCTTGGTCCTGACCAAAGAAGAGCGCTTTGGAATCTCCATTACGCATCATACCTGGGCTGCGTTTCCCGATAAAAGAAAAAGCGGTGTTCTTTATAAAAGAAGCACTTCAGAAATAGTTGGAATCGCATTTATTAGGACTCATGGTATAGGCAGAGGCGCTGGCGCCCTCCTAGCAACGGCGCTGGTCGCGCTACCAGCGATAGTCGTAGGCTACTATAGCGGGTGGCAGAGACGAAGATGTGCTAGGTGATGTGGATCTCAGCTTTCCTTCATCTCCTGGTTGCAGCGATGACTCAGAGACTGTACGTGCGCGTTTAAGGTACCTAAACAACGACTGTTGCAACATTGTCCTTTACTGGAAATTATTTTCACACTTTCACAAGCTAATGATAAGCGCTGACGCTGCAATATTTCTGGAGACATGGAGTGGGTAAAACATTTTTTGACCACTTGAGTTTTTTTTTTGTAGAAAGACTTTTTTTTGAAAAAAGATTTTCGTTTCGTATAAATTGTATCTTAATTTTGATAAAAGTTTTATCAACCAATTGCCCGTATTTAATAAATAAGAAGCAATATATAGCAGACAATGTAATAAGGCGCCGGCACGATCACTTGCATTGCACGACAACTGGAGCATGTTTCCGCCACAGAGTAAAAAATAAAAAATGTAATTGCGATTTTTTAATCTCACAATTCTGACGTTTTATCTCAGAATTACATGATAAAGTGGCAATTGCAGGTTAGCTATAAAGTCAGAATTGCGTGATATAGGCCTAAAGTCGCAACTGTATGTTATTAAGTCAAAATTGCGTGATATAAAGTGCGAGAAATATAGCTTGAAATTCTGACTTTTTTTTCCACAGAATTGCATGTTTATATCTCGCCATTCTGACTTTATAATACGCAATTGAGAGATATAAAGGCAGAATTGCATGATATAAAGTTGCAATTGCGTGTTACAAAGTCAGAATTGAATTGTGAGATATAAACTATTCTGGGTTAAAAATAAATAAATAAATAAAAGCAATTGCGACTTTATTTCACGCAATTCTGACTTTATAACACGCAATCGCGGCTTTATTTCACGCAATTCTGAGTAATAAAGTCAGAATTGTGAGATGTAAACTCGCAATAGTGAGATAAAAAGTCGCAATTATCTTTTAAAATGTTTTATTCTATGGCGGAAACAAGCTTATACTATAGCCTATAGCCTGTCCTATTTAAGTAGCCTATTTAAATTAATATAAAGATTAGATTTGCCCACTAATGGCTTAAATGAACAACTA